TCTGAAGGCAGGGAAATTTTCTCTGGCTAGAAATTATCTCAAGGGTACAGGCTCAGTTGTTCTACCATCAGACAAAGCAGAGAGTCTTGTCATTAATGCAGCAAAGGAATACTTCTTCTCTGCTCCGAGCCTTGCTTCTGAAGAAGTAAGTGGTGTTTCTTCATTTGTGTGATCTAGAGTTTTTTGTTTTTGTTTTTCTTCATAAAGTTTAGTGTTGGCATTTATACTCTTTGTGCTTCGATTTTTTTTTCATCCTCATTTTTGCAAAATATATTTCAGATATGGAGAGCAAGGGAGTGCCTGAATATATTTTCTAGTAGCCGGACTGTTAAAGCTGAGGCCGATATCATTGATGCAGTTACTGTTAGGCTTCCAGATCTTGGGGTTACTCTCTTACCAGTTCAGTTCAAACAAGTAAAAGACCCAATGGAGATTATTAAGATGGCAATCACAGGGCATCCTGGGGCTTATCTACATGTTGAAGAACTTATTGAGGTTGCTAAACTTCTTGGGTTAAATTCTTCAGAAGATATATCATCAGTTGAGGAAGCTATTGCTAGAGAAGCTGCAGTTGCAGGCGATCTGCAACTGGCTTTTGATTTGTGCCTTGTTCTAACCAAAAAGGGGCATGGTCCCATTTGGGATTTAGGTGCTGCAATAGCAAGAGGTCCTGCACTTGAGCACATGGATGTAAGTTCTCGAAAGCAGTTGCTTGGCTTTGCTTTGGGTCACTGCGATGATGAATCAATCAGTGAGCTATTGCACGCATGGAAAGATCTTGACCTGCAAGGCCAATGCGAGGCTCTGGGAATGTTATCAGATTCTGATTCTCCGGAGTTTCACAAGATGGATGGTGTTTCTTGTCTGAGAGATCACCCTCAGTTTCTTGATGGCCGAAGCTTTGATCAACGGCTAGATTTGGATAGAGTAAAAGATACACTTTCTATTGTTGCTAAGGACTTGCCGGTTGATAATAGCGTGAACTTGGAATCTCTTCTAAAGGAAAATGGGAAGCTTTTCTCATTTGCTGCTTCGCATCTTCCTTGGTTGCTTAAGCTGGGAAGAAATAGGAAATTGGATAAAAGCCTAGTTCTTGATTCAATTCCTGGAAAGCAGTTTGTCAGCATAAAAGCAACTGCTCTTGTTACCATTCTTTCTTGGCTGGCAAAGAATGGTTTTGCACCAAAAGACGAACTGATAGCCATGATTACAGACTCAATCATTGAACATCCAGTAACAAAAGAGGAAGACATTATAGGATGCTCCTTTCTGTTGAATCTAGTAGATGCATCTAATGCAGTAGAAGTTATAGAAAAGCAGTTGAGAATAAGGGGGAACTACCAAGAAATTCGAAGTATCATGAGTCTAGGGATGATATATAGTTTGCTACATGACTCTGGAGTAGAATGCACGGCTCCCAACCAGAGGAGGGAACTGCTACGGAAGAACTTCGAGAGAAAGCAGACAGAAAGTCTCTCCGGTAACTTTTTCTTGGTCTATTATTATTCTCTCAAAATACTTGTTTTTGGGCCCTTGTTGACCTCTTGGTGCATTTTATATATCAGTAATGATTGTTATCCTGATTTTTTTGTTTTTTTTCCTTTTGGTTCAGATGATATGAGCAGGATCGACAAACTTCAGTCAAATTTTTGGAAGGAATGGAAACATAAGTTAGAGGAGAAAATGCATGTAGCTGACCGTTCTAGAATCCTGGAGAGAATCATCCCCGGGGTTGATACTGAAAGGTTTTTGTCCCATGATGTTGACTACATTAAGGATGCAGTTTTCTCACTTATTGAATCTGTTAAATCGGAGAAGAAGCTGATTTTGAAGGATGTACTGATCATAGCTGATACATATGGCTTGCAGCAGTCAGAGGTAGGAATTATACATAATAACTCGTGAAAGTTTAATTTTTCCTCAACTGCATTTACTATAGATCTTTCTTTGTCTTCTCACCAGGTGATACTAAGGTATTTAAGCTCTATCCTTCGCTCTGAGGTTTGGACGAATGAGGACATCACGGCTGAAATTTTACAAGTCAAGGAAGAAATACTTGCCTTTTATTCAGACACGATACGAACCATAAGCACAGTTGTGTACCCAGCAGTTAGTGGTTATAACAAACAACGCCTTGCGTACATATACGGCATCCTTTCTGAATGCTATTGCCGTTTGGAAGAAAGCACGGAAGATTCATCGTTGGTGCAACAGGTTCAACCATCAAATTTGTATAACATCCTTCAGCAAGAATGCAGTAGAGTTTCGTTTATCACAGATTTGGATTTCAAAAATATCGCCGGATCGGGGGGTTTGAACTTTGACAGCTTCAACAATGAAGTTCATGCGCACATCAATGAGATGAACTTGGAAGCTTTGGCCAAAATGGTAGAAACTCTCACTGGCTTCTTCATGGAGAATTCGCCTAAGGGTCTCATTTCCTGGCAGGATGTCTACAAACGATATATTATGAATTTGTTAGCTACATTGGAAAGTAGAAGAGATCTTGATTTAGGAAGTGCAGAGAGTTTCCAGGGCTTCCTCAGTCAACTTGAGCAGACCTATGACCACTCTAGAGCGTATATCAGGATCTTGGAACCCATACAGGCTTTGGAAATCCTGAGACGGCATTTCACGTTAGTTCTACCGCCAAATGGTTCCCACATGCACATCCCTGATAGTTCTACATGGCAAGAGTGCCTTATCTTGCTGATTAACTTTTGGATAAGATTAGCCGATGAGATGCAGGAAGTAAAATCATCTAGTCCAAGTCTCGTGGAGAATCTGATCTTAAGCACTGAATGCATCAACAGCTGCCTTACTGTTCTCATAAGACTAGTAATGGACGACAGTCTCTCTCCAAGTCAAGCTTGGGCTGCAATACTTGTCTACCTTAGGTCTGGATTGGCCGGTGATTGCGCCACTGAGATTTTTAACTTCTGCAGAGCCATGGTCTTCTCTGGTTGCGGGTTTGGGCCCATTTCTGATGTCTTCTCAGATTTATCCTCTCGGTATCCATCAGATTTGGAGGATCTTCCACATCTTTATTTGAGCGTACTTGAACCGATATTACAGGATTTGGTATCTGGGGCTCACGAAACACATAATCTTTATCGGTTGCTATCTTCTCTCAGTAGCTTGGAAGGTAACCTGGAAGAACTGAAACGTGTTAGGCTTGTGGTGTGGGAAAAACTCGTAATATTCTCTGAGAACCTGGAGTTGCCAAGTCAGGTTCGTGTCTACTCCTTAGAGCTGATGCAGTTCATCTCAGGGAAAAATATCAAGGGCTCATCGTCTGAGCTACAATCAAACATAACGCCATGGGACGGCTCGGCTGAATTACTATCATCTATGCAGAAGAGTGAAGCCACACTTAACCAGTCGTTGCCTGACCAGGCTGATGGCTCTAGCAGGCTCACAAACACTCTGGTCGCACTTAAATCGTCTCAGATCGCTGTGGCGTCCATCTCTCCAGGCTTAGAGATATCCCCTGAGGATCTATCCAGTGTTGAGACATCTGTTTCCTGCTTCTCCAAACTCTCTGCTGCTGTTTCTTCAGCTTCACAAGCTGAAGCTCTTCTGGCGATTTTAGAAGGATGGGAAGAGCTGTTTGAAGCTAAGAAAGCGGAACTTTTACCGTCTAATGAGGCTACTGAGCAAGGAAACGATTGGGGAGATGATGATTGGAATGATGGATGGGAAACACTTCAGGAATCAGAACCCGTCGAGAGAGAGAAAAAGGAACACGTAGTCTCACCACATCCCTTACACTCGTGCTGGCTGGATCTTTTCAAAAAGTACAATGCGTTGTGCATGCCCGAAAACGTTCTACGGCTTATAGATGGATCGCTTCAGAAACCTGAAGAGGTCCTGCTTGAAGAATCTGAAGCAGAAAGCCTGACAGAGATCTTAGCCAGGACCGATCCATTTCTTGCACTAAAGATTTCTCTTTTGTTGCCCTACGAACGGATTAGATCTCAGTGCCTCAATGTTGTTGAAGAACAGCTGAAGCAAGAAGGCATTCCGGAGTTATCGAGTCAGAGCCACCACGAAGTTCTGCTTCTGGTTATATATTCTGGGAGTCTCTCCACGATCATTTCTAATTCTTCCTACGGCTCAGTCTTCTCCTTCCTCTGTTATCTGATTGGAAAGCTATCTCGGGAGTTCCAAGAGGAGCAGAGAACACAAGCAGACAACAAAGAAGGCAACAGAAGTTCCGGGAGACGGTTTGTATCATGTTTTGGGGAACTCATGTTCCCGTGCTTTGTGTCGGGGCTTGTGAAGGCTGACCAGCAGATATTAGCCGGGTTTCTGGTGACGAAGTTCATGCACAGTAACCCATCTCTTAGTCTGATTAATGTGGCAGAGGCAAGTCTGAGGAGATACTTGGAGAAGCAGCTTGAGTCTTTGGAGGATCCGTTTTGTGAGAGCAAAGAACTTGAAACGTTGAAGAATACAGTCTCAAGCTTAAGGCGCAATTCAAAGGAAGTTATACGATCTGCGTTAGCGTCTCTTTCTAGTTGTACAAACAGCAGATGATAAGAACAAAAAGGAGCAATTAGGCGAGGGTAAATCTGTTTATGCGTTTTAATACATTTATAGTCTGTTTTACTTCGTGTCCAACGTTTTTTTTTACATACATGAAATTCTAAATGGAGGTTACGTTGTGTTCTCTACTGAGTCTTTGCATTCAACAGCTATTTGAACATTTCCACCAATCCAGTTACATAACTTCTAGTACTGTAAAGGCAGATAAAACATTCCACTGAACTTTATATATTGATTAGGAACATAACTAAATAGCCGAAAGGAGAATGTATGGTAACAATTCATCTACAAGAAACTATATCAAAAAGGAGAATGGATGATGAGAATTCACCCAGTCACATAATAAGCATTCTCAATCAAACATGATTGTTGTTCTAGCATAAGCATTGTTATTTTTCTTCCATTGACTGACTTTGGCGTTTCAGGTGGGAAAGGTAATAATGAATGAATGATTAGAGATTGAGTGGCTCTGTTTCTGAGTTTCGATCCTTCATGGGAATCCAATCCTCTGCTTCTACAACAAAAAGAAGAAGCAAAAAAAAAAAATCAAACGAGAAAATGAAAAAGAGAAGAGTTGGGGGAGATTTAGTCACGTACTTGGCTTGTCAGAGATAACCATAAGCCTCCGTTGTAATATTGAAGCTACAAAGAGGAAGATAGAGCACATCCCAAACATAATTGTGATGGGGAACGCGTTTACCTGTTGAAAATAATCACAACGAAATGGTTAGTGAGTTTTCCAAAATTTGATTACTTTTAGCTTATTTCATTGGAAATCTTCTCTTTACGTTGTACAAGACGACGCAGACGAAAATGTTGAGTGGAATACGGAAGAAGTTCATGATGGTACTTCTCGCTTCTTCAGGAATGTACTGTGATCTCATCTTCATGATTGAAGGCCAGAAGATTCCAACGCACGCCTCGAAAACACAGAATCCAAGAAGCTGAATGCAACCAGTGAGGGACATTCCTTCGGTCTTCACCTTTGACGGGGTTACTAAGAGCTGTTTTATTTTAAGAAGCGGCCATGTTCGTGAGAAAAGAGTTCAACACTGAAGATACTTTAAAGGAAACTGAATCAGTACGTACGCTTGTTATGATTGGGAATAGAAGAGAAGCAGCTGAGACTACGAAGACGACTTGCATGTAGCTTTCAACTCTAGGAGTTGAGCGAGCCATGAGACGAGCAGCCAAGGAGCTTCCTAGCATGGAAGCCAGCATGAAAGTTGCGAATATGAAGCCATGTGGGATCTCTTCGTCGTTTGGGCTGAGAGCTGGTGTCCAGAGGAATACAAATGTGTACATTGACCCTTCAAACAGAGATTGGATTGCTCCAAGCAACGCAATTTTTTCATCTGAGACATCAAGATAGACTATGTTAGTAATGATGGGAAAGGTCAATGGAAATCTAATGCAAGATTGAGCTTGAACTTGCCTGAAGCAATTGCTATGGAAGCAACCTTGAACTGTGTGAGCAAATCTTTACTGTCAGATGGATCTCCGTAATTCTCAGACCATGTAGCCAATATGATGGCCATTCCAATTGCAAGAAAGCACCCAGCCGCATCAAACGGTGCAACAGGACCAAGTGAAAAAGTGTCAACAAGAAGATTACCAAACAATCCAGAGAGTATAGCCACCAGACCATTCCCAAGAAAAACAGCCTTAGAGAATGTCAGTGACAGCCATTGTTGCTCAAAGTTCCTCTGCATCATTGTTCAGAATAATGAGAGCTAATCCTCAGATTTTTTATATAAAATAAGGTAAAGCTAAGACTAACCTTGTTGTGCTCAGCAATGAGCCACGACTCGAACGCTGAAAACAGTAGAGACGTAGAAACCCCACCCAGGATACGGCCAACCATCAAAACTCTGTACTGTGGAGAATGCTTGGTGACACAGCTCAGAATGTAAGTTATGCAGTATGTCACACATGCTCTCTTTCGTCCCCTGAATCCAATCACACAAAGATATTAATTTCTCTACAACAGAGATCTCATCTGATCACACAAACATTAAAACTTAAAAGAGAAAAAGCTCTCACTGTTTATCAGCCAGAGATCCAACAATGGTTCCAAACAACATCGACGAACCAAAACCAGCAATGAACAGCTGCCCAATATCTCCTTTCCCGAATCCATAAGTACTGTAAAGATAATACACATAAGGACCTTGGAGCCAGTCTCCAGCTGCACCAACATATATGTATCAGCAAAATGATTTCAGATCTGTGCAAGAGCTACAACATATCTATCATGAAACAATCACTATTCCTTCAACTCCAGCTGAAATCTCCAATCTAAGATAGTGTCATCTTATTGAACTGATACATTTCCAGAAAAGTTTACCAGATTTGTGGAAAAGCTAAGATTTTCGATTCGATCTAGCACACCAAAGACTAAAACAAAGTGATAACATCTCGACACTCTTCCAATTCCAGAAAGCGAAGGAGAAACAAACTTAGATCAAATCCAGAAACAGCAACCGCGATCAAATTACGTGTTAATCCAACGACGAAGCTGCGAAAATGGAGGGGAAAATTTACCCATCATAAGAGAGAAAATGAGGAGGTAATTGTTCTTGAAGGAATTGAAGGCAGATGAAGTATTGATCCGATCCTTATTCGTCTTGCTCAGCTCCAGAACCGCCACGACGGCTGCCATGACTCCGAACACCAAGTAGTAGAAAACCTCCATTGTTGCTATTTGCTTCTTCTACCTCAGAGCTTCTTCACACAGAGAGAGAAACGAAAGAAGAAGCAAAAAATTGATGTCACTGTAGCGGAGAAGCTCCTAATTGGGAAAATGGGAACTGCCAAACAAAACCGGAATAAACCGAGAACCAAAACAAAATCTTAAACCAGCCGGTCAACGTCTGTTATTGATTTATCCATATCGAGAGCTTCAAGGAGATAATGATTACAGAGTCGTCGACATTTTCATTTCCGACAGCAATTTTACGAAACCCCAAAAGAGATCAGTTTCTTCCGTTTTCGAAATTTCGATTCTTCTCCGTTTCTTAGATGAGATCTCCATAAACCCTTAACCCCCTCAACGTGCAGCTGAAATTCGATTGTGTTATATATTCAGAAGGAGCAAATTTCATGGTTTTAGAGCGATGAGAGGATCCGCACTACTTGATTTGATTGTGTTCCTTCTCGTATCTCCATTGGCTCACAGTTTCAAGGGATCTGAAATCTCCAAGTTTTCAGAGAAATCTATCTCCAATCAAATCTCCCATCCCGCTCGGTTAGTGATCTTCCGATTTTCCCCTCCGATTCGGTTTAATTGATCGATCATGAGCTTCGTTTTGACTTCATTCTCTTCTCTCTGATTTGAATTTCTATTAGAAGCTTTATAAACGATGATGGGGCATTGAATCTAATTTATGTGGGAATGTCAACATCTAATTTGATCTGGTCCATGTTTTGGGTTTTATTAATAACGATTCCATCTAAACGTTGACACCTTTATTACAAGTCTAGTGTTTTAGGTTTCTGCTCTTGAATGTGGCAATTTCCCTGTTTTAACAAGCTAATGATTGTGATTTTTCTTCAGAGAATCAAGCCATGTGTTGCTTTCTACAGTAGAGGGAACGATATCATTGGTAAATATTACCTCACAAAAGGTGGACTGGACATTCCACACCAATGAGCCGATTTATTCATCCTACAAGGCTCCTCATTATCACTACACCAACGATGATGCTCCGGTGCTTGGTGATGACTTTTACATGGACTGCGATAAGGATTGGCGTCTATACAATTCCTCTATGCGTAAAGGAAAACGCATAAATGAGGTATCACTTGAAAATTCTTTTTCATTTTCTGGTTTATTGATACTAAGACTGTCTCTGATATGATCTTGAAATCATTTTCTTAAGATCGTGGATGCTTTAGAGTTCATTGGAAGATTGCCGTTCTCAATGACGGATAGGATCGTTTTAGGTAAAAAAGACACGTCTGTGTTTCTCTTGGATTGGAAGACTGGGAAATTGGTTAAGAGGTACAGAGTGGACGACCTCTACACTGATTCATTCGTTCAAGATGATAAAGAAAAGGCCATTGTTTTGTCTAAAGAAGCTCCGATACTCCTTGGATCCGGTTTCAAAGAATCAGAGGATCTTCCTGACCTGGTCTCCATTGAGAGGAAAGATTATAAAGTCCAATGCATATCAAAGTTCGGAGATGTTTTGTGGAGTGTTTCTTATTCTGAGATGGATGCTAAACTACAACACCATGAGAGTGTACAACTCATCGGTACTATTACAGCTTCTCAAGGAGAGAACAGTTTCAAGTTGCCCTCTACGAGAAGTGTTCCTGTGATTCGGTTACGTAATTACTTTGAGAAACTGTTTCCAAGGCTTGGTTTTCTAGATGGAGCGTTGTACCTTCCGATTCAAGATAGGAAGCTGAATCAGTTGGCTCCTGGAAATGGAATTCCTTTGGCACTTCCGAGCAATAGAGAGTCTCAAGAAGTCCTCTCACTTCCTCTGCCTGAGACGGTGATATCTCAGATCACTGAGATTATTGACGGAAGCACTACGCAGACGGGCTTTGCTAGCAAGTTTTCTGATTTGGTTGTCGTGCTATTCGGCATTTTTGTTAGTATACTCTCTGTTTGTGGCCTTCTCTTTCGCCGATTAAGACAGAGCTGGCGGATTAAGGAATCTGAAGTGCCTGTAGTGGTATCTAAGAAGAAGAAGTCCAAGAAAAATGGGACTATAAAGGTGGCTCAGAAGAAGGAGAACGGGTTTGCATCTGGAGGGAATAAAGAGAACGAGAAGAAGCTACTTGCGACCCTCTCTGGTATTGGTAATAGTTCAATAGAAGGATACAGAGTTGGTAAACTGTTTGTCTCCAACAAGGAGATTGCTAAAGGGAGCAATGGAACTGTTGTCCTTGAAGGATCCTATGAAGGTCGTCTTGTAGCGGTCAAGCGTCTAGTGCAAACACATCATGATGTGGCTCAGAAGGAGATTTTGAATCTCATGGCTTCGGACAAACATGCGAATATTGTCCGTTGGTATGGGGTTGACCAGGACGAGCATTTCATCTATATTTCACTGGAACGGTGCGCTTGTAGCTTAGGCGATCTCATACATGAATCCTCTGGACTGCTTGACAATCCAACGGCTTCAAGTAGTATACATTCGATTCAGATAAACCCAACCTTTGACAAAGGAGTTGAATTATGGAAAGAAAATGGACATCCTTCTCCTGTTTTGTTGAAGCTAATGAGGTTTGTTTAGTTTTCTTCTCATCTTTTTTGAAAGTTGAATTCAAAAAGCTTGCATACATCTTTCTGATATCTGTATGTTTTGTGTTACAGGGATGTAGTTGCTGGTCTAGTTCACTTGCATGATATTGGAATCGTACACCGAGATCTAAAGCCTCAAAATGTGTTGATTGTTAAAGACTCATCTCTATGTGCAAAGCTATCAGATATGGGTATAAGCAAGCGCTTGCCTGCTGACACAAGTGCCTTGACTAGAAACTCAACTGGTAAGATCTTGGAAGTAATGTAAACAGAGGGAAAATGATAGTTTCTTCTTCTTGTATATAACTGTTGTTGCTGTTAATGATAGGTTCTGGAAGTTCTGGGTGGCAAGCACCTGAGCAACTCCGCAACGAAAGACAAACAAGAGCTGTTGATCTCTTTAGTTTAGGGTGTGTTCTCTTCTTCTGTATGACTGCAGGCAAACATCCTTACGGAGACAACTTCGAGAGGGACATAAACATTTTGAACGACCGTAAAGATCTCTTCTTGATCGAGTCTCTTCCTGAAGCTGTTCATCTTCTCTCTGGTCTCCTTCACCCTGATCCAAATTTGAGACCTGGAGCACAACAAGTCCTGCACCATCCATTGTTCTGGAACTCGGACATGAGACTGTCTTTCCTCCGAGATGCGAGCGACAGGGTGGAGTTGGAAAACAGAGAAGAAGGGTCACAGCTCTTGGCCGCGCTTGAGAGCACATCAGCGGTTACTCTAAACGGACGTTGGGATGAGAAACTGGATAGCATATTCCTAGACAACATCGGACGTTACAGGCGGTACAGGTTTGACAGCATCCGAGATTTGTTGCGAGTCATAAGGAACAAGATGAATCACTATAGAGAGCTTCCTGGAGAGTTACAGGAACTTCTTGGGAGTGTACCTGAAGGGTTTGATAGGTACTTCTCAAGCAGGTTCCCAAAGCTGTTGATTCAGGTCTATACAGTTTTATTTGATTACTGTCACAATGAAGAGTTCTTCTTCAAGTATTCTAAGACCACTGTGTTCTAAAGTTTGTTTTTTATTCTGTTGACTCTCTGTATAATAGATTTACTAATTTTACTTTTGAAAGATATGATAGATTTATTTAAATACTGTAACACTGAATAATTGTTTTTCAAGTATTGGAAGACCACTGTATTTTAAGTTTTTCTTTCTTTCTGTTGATTCTCTGTATAATGGATTTACTATAACTCTTGAATTATCTGATGATAAACATTTGTTGCTGAATTTTGTAGAGAAAAACAAAATTCATAGTAAGATATGTTTAAGCCATTTCTATAGAATAATAACACATGTTTATGATTGTTCATGTAGTAATTGTTTTTTTTTTTTAATCTAGAGTGCCACGCCTATTAGTTAAATTATTTTAGAATCAACACATGTAGTACTCTCTTTTTTTTTTGTATCTAGCTTACTTCAAGAATCCAATAAATCTAAAGTGCCACGCCTATTGCTTAAACTATTTTAGAATCTATTTCAAACTTCAAATTTGTTCTTTAGATGCTCAAAATGTGGTCAACTCAATTTTAGTATTCTAAATTCGTTCATATCAAATTGATGAATTCAAAGAAAATCATGTTATGCCAAAATGAGCTATTTCCATGTAAACTGCCACATTATCACCAACTTTAAAAAAAAATTGATAGTAGATCTTAATTTCTTTTTACAATTAACAGGGTCAACACAAAATTTATTTATTTTTAAAGTTCGTTCTTAGATGAATTCAAAGCAAATCATTTCATATATATATATATATTACCAAAATGAGCTATCTTCATCGAGATTGTCACATTGTATTACGAATATCTAAGATAAATCAACAACCACGATAGCCTCCACGTGGTAAATGGAGCTGCTCTGAACGATGAAGTTCTATATTTGGAAAAGCTCTCTTCACCACCATCTGTAACCGTCCCGAGTGTAAGTGGACCGACCTCCATCTGCGCTCACTTCCAATGTTTCTAGGTAATAAAATGTACCATTGATATTGTAGTTGATCACTGATTAGAAACTTTTGTAACAGTATCTATATTTTGATTAGTGAGTATCTTACATCATTGCATTACTCTTGTTGTTTTGCTTTATAAACGTTCGTTCATCGTTTGACCCTAAGCAAATCATATTACGCCAAATTGAGCCCCCCGATATGTTGTAACTTTGTAAGAAAATATTATATGTGATGTAATGTTGTAATAGTTTTAACTGATTATTACCACTAGGATAATCAACTCAAGTCTTCTAGTAAGAAATCAGTTGTGCAAACTTTTTGTTTGATATAGAAATAAATATTAAGTTTTTAAACGTTGTCATTGGGGTAATATATCCATATACATTAAGTGACACTAAAAAAACGTAGAGCCATCTTAGTATAAACTAATACGCTTGTGTTTGTATTCGTAAGCATATATCATCGAAGACAATTTCTAAATGAATATGAATAGGAATATGATGATCACTACTCTTGTGATGATCTTGATTTCACATTTTCTTGCCTCTTCGATCGTAATGGGGGACCTGGACCCAGAGACAAAGTCTATGATCGATAGAATCTGTAGACAAACAGTCGACTTCAAAGCCTGTGAGATGATGGTCACGTCTCAGCTATCCTCGCCTCATGCAGACATCGCGACCATAACGAACGTCATGACAAAGAGAGCATTAACCTTTGCTGGCGAAACGCTCGGTCAAATCCAAGACTATCTTCTCCCAAATGCAACAGATTCTCGGGACAAAGCCGTTTTCTTAGCTTGCAAGATCGCGTACAAAGCCGTGGTGTCTCGGCTTCAGAGCGCCGATCAATCCTTCTCGAGAGGCGATTACGTGGCGATGAAGGCAGAGCAGAGTCAAGCACTTGCGTATATTGAAGTCTGTGTTAAGAGGACTGACTTCTTTCGCCGGACTCCGATTATCGGGGTCAGCTATTGGGCGAGGTTGATGACCAAGATAGCCTCCATTGCAGCCCACATCCTTGCTCCTCCTTAACTAAGAAACAATAGATTTTTGTAACAGAAATCCTCGATTTTATTCAACAATAATAAGAAAATATCATTTTTTTCCCTCTAAAGCTTTTCTTTATTTTAGGTATTTGTTTTCCAACGAAACAATAAACTTAGAAAATTGTACATTTTAGACATTTGCAGAATTCAGCTGACTTTTAATATTCCTTTTTCTTTACAATGTGGCATTCTTATTAACCGATGTGTACTAAAGATATGCTCATGCTTGTGACTTGTGAGGTACAACAAGTACAACAGTTTGTCTCCAAATGCAAATGCCATTACGTCATGTGGAAAAGAATTTGATAGACATATGCACATAGAATATTTGTACTTTTCAATAGGCCTGAACATTAAGTCGGTTCGAGTACTTTTGGTTTGGTCCCTTTTTGAACTAATGGTTTTATTTATTTATTTACTGGGGGTGTAGTGTAAATTCAAAGCAAGTGTCACACAATTTGTAGATAGTTTCAAAATCCAATTTCAGTGTATAAGCTTTAAAAAGCCAAAACCTGAATTTTCTTCAATATCTTAGAAAGAAAAAAAAGAAGCTGACAACACAGAAAAATGGGAACAAATCAGGTGGAGGGAGGTGGTAACTGAAAGTCAAAGATGCAGTACGACCCACTTTCAAAAATTCAGTGCTCTTTCCCTTTGTGGGAGTTGTTACAACAAACAATGCTCGCCACACTTTCAAGGGACTCCATTTTTCTTATCAACTTTGTACTACAAACAAATCTCTCTCAAAACCATATTATAAAATAAATTATTATTATTATATTGCCGACAAGATAAATATCACTGTAATAATATTAAATGAAATAGTTAAGGTTTGGTGAAACGGACGAACAACCATATTATCTCTCCCGCTCTGGCTTTTTATCTGGAAACGCGTGTACTCCTTCCATTTTTGGTTTCGCAAACTTTGAATCTCGAAAATTTCTTGTACTCTCATAACTTCCAAACCCTAATTTGTACTTCTTTCTTTGCAGTACACTTTCTCTCTCCCTCTCTCCCTCCCTCTCTCTTCATTCATTTCATTTTCTATAAAACTCATTTCTCAATTCCACTTTCGCTAATATGCGATTCTCTCTTCTCCTCCTTCTTCTTAGATCTTACGCGAAATCCTTTTCCCCCTTTCGTTTCGTCTTGATTCGCCTATTTTCCTCGATTCTCTGTATCGAAACCTCTGTTTACGAATCTGGAGTGCAGAGGAAGCAACCAAATCGATTTTTTCTTAAATTCCGAAGCTCGAAATGGAGAACGAGAGGAGTGATGAGAGAGAGCACAACCAATTCCGCGGAGACGACGACGAGCCCAACGATTGGAGAAAACCGCCGCCGTGGAGGAAACAGATCACTGTTCGATCGATCGTCGCGAGTTTGCTGATCGGAATCGTCTACAGTGTGATCTGCTTGAAGCTGAATCTAACGACGGGACTCGTCCCGAATCTGAACATCTCGTCAGCTCTTCTGGCCTTCGTCTTCCTCAAATCATGGACCAAAGTTCTCCAGAAAGCAGGAATCGTCACTGCTCCGTTCACACGGCAAGAGAACACCATCGCTCAGACTTGTGCCGTTGCATGCTACAGCATCTCTCTCGCAGGTAAATTAATTATCCATAAACAAAACAATAATAACAATAACCAAAAATTAATCGATGGAGTTTGGATGATGACAGGTGGATTTGCGTCGTATTTGTTGGGATTAAACAGAAGGACTTACGAGCAGACGGGAGTGAACACACAAGGAAACAATCCACGTGGTATCAAAGAGCCTGGTGTTGGGTGGATGACGTCATTCCTCTTTGTTGCTAGCTTCATCGGACTTGTCGTTTTAGTACCTCTTCGAAAGGTAGTGAATTAAGAATCATTTTATAAGAAGGGATTATCAAAATATGATTTGATTCAGTGGCTGATGAATTTGAATCATCTTTAAACACAGGTTATGATTGTGGACTATAAGCTGACGTATCCTAGTGGAACTGCAACTGCTGTTCTTATTAATGGATTTCACACTAGCAAAGGAGACAAGACAGCCAAGTATGTTGTTATGTCTTTTTGAATCTTGTTTATTTATTTATTTTTCTCACATGTTCATTGATTTTGAATTGGATATTTATGGACGACTTTATGCTTTGGTACAGGAAACAGATTCGAGGGTTTACAAAATCGTTTGGGTTGAGTTTCTTCTGGGCATTCTTTGGATGGTTCTATGGAGGTGGTGAGTTATGTGGTTTTTCTCAGTTCCCAACGTTTGGGTTACACGCTTGGAAAAAATCGTGAGTTTTTTCTGTTTCTTAAAACCTTCTCTACCTTTTTTATTTATTTTTCCACTTGAGTTTAAACATGTTTTATCTCTTTGGGGATGTGATGCAGATTTTTCTTCGACTTTAGTATGACATATGTTGGAGCTGGGATGATCTGTTCACATTTGGTGAATCTTTCGTTGCTCTTCGGTGCAATACTCTCCTGGGGAATTATGTGGCCTCTCATAGCCGGCCTTAAAGGCCAATGGTATTCTGCAACATTGCAAGATGGTAGCATGAAGAGCTTAAATGGCTACAAGGTCTGATATTTTCTACTCTCTTTTTTTTTGTGTATCTCACAAGTTAAAGCAAAACGATACGATAAGTTTACATTCTTGTTGTTGTCAGGTGTTTATATGCATTGCATTGATCTTAGGAGATGGGCTTTATAACTTTCTCAAAATTCTCATTTTCACTGGAAGAAGCTTTCACTCTAGACTCTCCAAAACCAACAGTATCAGCACATGTAAGTTGTCATCTTCAAAAAATCTCTGTTTCTGAATTTGTTATAAAAAAATATGTCAAATTATAACGGACTGGATACATTTTCAGTGGAAGAAGTTCCAGGAGATGGCACAAAAGAATCCGATAACATGAAACGTGAGAACGAAGTATTCATTCGAGAGAGCATTCCTCTGTGGATGGCTTGTGTGGGATACATATTCTTATCCGTCGTCTCCATCATTGCAATCCCTCTCATGTTCCCTCAGCTGAAATGGTACTTCGTCCTCGTAGCCTACCTCCTCGCGCCGTCTCTCAGCTTCTGTAACGCCTACGGTGCCGGGTTAACCGACATGAACATGGCTTACAACTACGGCAAAGCGGCGCTCTTCGTGATGGCGGCGTTGGCTGGGGAAAGCGACGGAGTGGTGGCGGGAATGGTCGCTTGTGGTCTCATCAAATCAATCGTCTCTGTCTCTGCCGACTTGATGCACGATTTCAAGACAGGACATCTAACGCTAACCTCGCCTCGTTCCATGCTTGTTGCACAAGCCATCGGGACAGCGATAGGTTGTGTGGTCGCGCCGCTCACTTTCTTCCTCTTCTACAAGGCGTTTGATGTTGGAAACCCTAACGGAGAGTACAAGGCTCCTTACGCTATCATTTATCGAAACATGGCCATCATCGGCGTTCAAGGTCTCTCCGCTCTCCCTCAGCATTGCCTCGAGCTTTGCTACGGGTTCTTTGCGTTTGCGGTTGTAGCCAACCTGGGGAGGGATTTCTTGCCGAAGAAGCTAGGGAAGTGGATCCCACTCCCGATGGCAATGGCTGTGCCGTTCTTGGTTGGTGGTTCGTTTGCGATAGATATGTGTGTTGGGAGCTTTGTGGTGTTCGTTTGGAGGAAGGTGAACAGTAAGAAGGCAGAGTTTATGGTTCCAGCGGTTGCATCAGGTCTGATATGCGGAGATGGTCTCTGGATTCTGCCTTCTTCACTGCTCGCTCTGGCTAAAGTTCGACCGCCTATGTGTATGAACTTCACGGCAGCTCAATAAACCAAACTCGTCGCCGGAACATGTATACTAAAGATGTGGTTAAGTTAGGAGTAGACAGTTAAAAGAGGGATTAACCCACAATATACAAATGTCTTCTATGGTATGATGGATGAATGGTATTAATAATTTTGAAATAGGAATGAACAAAAAACAGAGTTAGTTTATTCTTTTACCGGCGGGAGATTCTCTTCCCCGGCACACAAAAAAAAAGGTCATTACGTGACCATATGTTCAATCTTGGTGTGGAGGGAAACAATAAGGTCATGAGCATCGTCTAAGAGCTTCCTCACGTCTAGTTTCCCAACCATACTGTGACACTCCCCCAAAATCTCCTCCATGCTATTGTACTTCTCAATGATGAGTTTCCTCTTTTGCAACACGGAAGCAGCTATGGCATACAGCAACAAATCCTCTGTGGGAGGAGCTCTCTGCTTTATCCGTCCCCTCCAGGAAGATTTCCCAATCCCAGCTCTTATTGCAGCTTGGTCTGCCCAAATCACTTCCCATAGATACAGCGTTTGCTCTAGAGTAAGCTCTCTTCTGAACATCACAAGCACCATTCTGTAGACGAAGAAACAGTCTTCGGCCTTGACTTTCTCAAGGTGCTTGTAGAGCTGCGAGTCTTTGGATTTGATAATCTTCGAGACTATGTTGAGCTGCCTCGTGATCCCAACCTCGTCGAGGCTGAAATTCTGACGAGCTTTCTTCATGAACCCGACGAAACACCAGAACGCCTCGTAGTCATCTTGTATGACTGAGAGTATAGGTGAGAGAAGATCGCTCATTCCTTGGCAGTAGCCGATTTCAGGGTCATGTAAGGCGTAGGCTTCAAGAACAGCAACAAGCCGTGCGGCGTGAAAGATTTTGGAAGGTTCCAAGTGACTGTAGTCCTTTAACACAACTGCTTCAGCAGCACGACGTGCCCTTTCCTCTGATACCATAGCTTGGGATGGTGAATATGGAGTCCACTCTGTATCGGCTCGCACAGCGTCTAGACGGATAATACGCTGCCATGTCACGAAATCCTCTTTGGTACGGGAGATAGATAAGCTGGATGGAGAAGAAGTGCTGTTTTCATCTTTCTCTTCAGAAGAAGGAATCATATGAACAGAATCATTATCATCTGAAGAATCTGAGTCAGAGGACTCAGAGTTCAGGCGTCTTGAACCACCAGTACATGAGACGTCACTCATGTACTCTTCTGTGTTGTCTTTGTCGCAAGAGATAGACTCGTGGGCGCTGAGACCATCATCAGAGCACGAACTGTCAGCGTCTTGCGCAAGAGACCAGCTGTTATGCTCATCTTGAGTAGTTTTATTGATCTTGTTTAACTTAAAAGTCCCACTGTTTTGGCTTTGAAGCCTTTTGCATTGCCTGCGTAGTCTCTCATACGCTTTTCTGCATTTGTATGGTTTAGTAAAAATCAGGTCACAGATGAATACAAAAAAAAAATGAAAAGATTCTCGAGCTGTGTGATTCAATCATCAGTTTCTCACCTTCTCCAAGTTCTTGTAACACCTCTCTCTTCTTTGGAACTATTGAAATCGCACCTGTTTGTAAAGAAGAAGCAAAGGGTGAGGACTACGAAGCAAGAACATTATGGTTCTGTGAGTGTATAAGTAGACATAAGTGCGATGATGCTTCATAACAATCAACATTCTCAACCTAAACCATACACTAATACAACCTTATAACCAGACTATGTTCTTTATATCAACAAATCACAAGCAACAAGGTAGAGATTTCATTATAACAAATCAAACTACCATAAGTGCATTATTGCAACTAATATAGAGATTGAATGTATACTTACACTCCAAGAAGGAATGGCCAGACCTCAGACCGAATGCTAGGATCAATGCCCTGCAAGGAAATTTACAAGCAAAAATGAATATTTCAAAACATATTGTAAATCACACTAACAACTTCACAAGTGCTATGAAGAAGCTTTGAGACTCACTCTACTCCGGACTTTCTTCAGCAAATTAACTCCCCCATTCCTAAGCCTACCCTCAGGGCTGAAAAATCTTCTCCACCGGCGAAGTGTGAGCGGCTTTTTCCGTCTTCTCCGGGACCATGGTGATTTAAGTCGATGCCTGCACAGAAAACATCAAAACTGTTTCAGAAAAAAAAATGCAGCATAAACAAGACATCATGATAGAACATCACTGCACTTTTGGACCTCACAGAAGAAGAGAAAAATCCAAAATTTTCCAGGAACCTTTACAGAGACCAATAAAGTCATGACCCAAAAAGGTCAGCCTAATAATACAAATCCAATCATTGATCTCAGTTATAAAGACGACAATTTACTAATAATTTATACTCATTGCAAAAGTGAAGTTCTATTAATCATCGAAAAGTTGTGAATTGATTCCATTACGAAAAGTATTAACATAATCGCAGGAATCACAAAAACGAATGCTCAATCGATTCAAGAGAGAGATAGACTCACGGATCGGAAGAAGAACAAGAAGCTGGAGAGGAAGAAGAGACAAGGACGAGGGCAGAACGCAAATGATGAGTCCAAGGAGAGGACGACGACGGAGACGAGAATAATGGCGACGATGGATTTCGAAACGAAGACCTCGTTTGAATCCTTCGAAGAGCTTTCATCGAACTCAGGTCTCAGGCTCCTCTCTCTCCTTCTATCTTCCTCCCCCAATTTAAAGCTAAATCAAGTCCAAACTTGTGCAATCTCCGTTCGAATCGCCAACCGATTTTCTCCACAACTCCGGCGATAAAAACATAAGACCACCTCCGTCTTCGCCGCGTCGTTAAACTAGCTTCCGCTTCTCTGAAGAAAGTTGGGATTTGTATTTTGCTCCTCTCTCTCTCTCTAGAATCTAGAATGGGAAGTCAATTCCGAGTAGAAGAAGGAGTCTTCAAGCCTATTTATTTGGCTTTCTTCAAAGTTTGTTTTAGTCTTATGATTGATCTCCACGTAGCGCAAAACCTGAGATTTCTTTTTTCCTTTTTCTCTTATTTATTTTCACAGTCAAGTCAATAGATTTTATAAAATTTTCTACAATGGCCTCCTTCAAAATCCAACAAAATTAAATAATTGAAGATATTTGGTTTGCGAAATATAAAAATAAACCATATATGTAAAAGAATGTGAAGCAAACAAGAAAATGATTATGGAAAAGTATTGTTGGTTACATCTCTCATAAATGTACATAGACTTGATGATGATAATTAGGTTGATCTACCACCATATATGTTTCCAACTACAAGTCTTTCTTATATACATTTCTTTTTACACATTTAGATCTCATTCAACAACTATTCTTTTTCTGCCACTTGTTGCTAATTCTGTAATTTGATACAATGTTCAAAGTTAGAATAATATCTCATCACTCAACTATACATCTTGTTATATATAACTCTCAAATCTCTCAGCCACGAAGTAAACAATGTCTCACAACAAGCATTATCAGAGAAATCATTATTTGATTGCTTTGCCACTTTCAATATTTCCATGCCAAGTAGGCTTTTATTACAAACACTCTCCCAATAACATAAATGGGAGATAACCGGACCTTAACAACCAAAAAAAGTAAACCAGACTAGTCAGAACCGAAGCAGCATAGCACCGGTTTAGAGCTTGGAACAGGCTGGTTTATCAAGAAACCAAACCAGCTCGTCTTCAGCAGAAACAGAACCAGCAGGAACGTTCCCAGTCTTCTTCAACGCTGCCTCCACCGCTTCGGCTTTCCCAGAACCGCACACGACTAGAGCTACATGCGCAGAGGAGTTGATGAGCGGGAAAGTGAACGTGATTCTTTCAGACGGCGGTTTAGGAGAGTCGGTGATGGAAGTTACCCATTTCTTGCTCTCGTTGCAGAGACTATGTCCAGGGAACAGTGACGCCACATGGCCATCAGGGCCCATACCAAGAAGCATGAGATCAAATTTGGGAAAGCCTGTTGATTCAGATACACGGAGGGTACTGGTCTTGACTAAATGTTTGAGGCAGGTCTCGTAATCATCCGCTGCTGCCTCGGCCGAGAGAGATTCGTTGATGGCGTATACGTTTCCAGGCGGGATTGGAACCTGAAAAGAGAAACAGTTAGAGTGTAGCTAATGAGGGCAACAATGGAGGTGAAAGATAGTGCAAATACCTTGGAGAGAAAACTATCATAAGCGAGTTTGTAGTTGCTGTCGTCATGGTGCTTGGGAACAACTCTCTCGTCGACCCAGAAGAAATGCCACCTTGACCAGTCGATTGAGTCAACGTAAGGAGATTCAACTAATTTCCTGAAATTTGAAAGTATTTCCAGTAGAAGACAGATTATGAGAAAAAAGGTAAGTCAAATGTGAAAGCTATGTTCTTGATTCCGTTTGATACAACACAAAAAGAAGAAAAAAAGGATTTTTTCCAATTCAATCGGATATCAAAAGCAAAACCTAACTAAAAGTTCCAAATTCGTAGATGATACTTTAGAACGCAATTGAGATTTCACAACGACATTGAAATAAAAATCGGGACTTTGCAATCCGAAAATCGCGTTTTGCTAGTAATTTTTCAAATGCCCAATCTGAAATTCAAAGTCCTGTGGCTTCGAATCGAAAATCTAAGAAAGTGAATACTCACCGGAGCGATTTGATTAGGGAGCCGCCGGAGACAACGACGGTGAAAGCGCCTCTCTCCTTGCAAAACTTATCGGAGAGATCCGCTGTGAATTTAGCTAGATCAATCGCTAAATTCTCTTCTGTGTCAAAAACCTCTACTCTCTTCTTCTCATCCTTCCCTATTTCCGCTGCCGTCGTAGCCATGCTCCTAACCTCCGAGATCTTTTTCCGACTATCAGCTAATCTCCTGCTAGATCCACTTCCGATCGACGAAACCGAGAACGACTCGAATCGAGACGCGGAAGTAGGAAAAGAACACGTGAGATTCTTCGGGAAGAAAACGGAGAGAGAATTCGAACGAGGCGATGAGAGGTTTGTGGGAGAAGAGAAGAGAATCGAGCGAAGGAAACAAGAAGATGCCATGAAAAAAAGTGAGAGCTTCTTTATAGAAGAAGCAAGTAAACTTTGACTTTATGGAGTACAAGACAAGTGGAGACGTCATATCGTACCGGTACATCTAAACCAACTGCAAGGGATTCGGTACTAACAACAATTTAATACACAAGGTTTTCTAACCTCTCTCTTTTGCTCATCTTGAACAAAACGATGCTCCAATAAGAAGAGTCGCGTGATTAATGTTCGTGGGGTTTTTTTTGCTAATTCAGTATCTAGACCACAATTGTTGGCCGACTAGTCTACTGGACCGAAGTCTGCGACTAAAGATTTTTAAACGTCCATTGAAGGGCTCATGGAACTGGTGGTCTGGGACGCTGTAGCCCGTATGTAAAATTCCCAGTGGCCAGGCGTCGAATCCTGATAGTGGATACCATAGCCGTGGGTCCATTACCACCAGGCTACGAACGTCTGATTTTTTCTTATTTTAGAATATTTTATTAATTTTTGTGATCCATGTATAATTCCACTCGGGCTCTCAGTTTATTAGAAAAGTTCAGGTAACCAATTCAGAATATGATTATAGTTTTAGTTATTAAACCCGCAAAATAGTATACATTTTCCCATTTTGAGTAATCATTCCGAAACCAATTAGCATATGAAAGTGATTTGATTTAACAAAATTCATTCTACAAGATATATATGCAGTTTAGTGATTTGTGTAGAGTTGGTGGAGTGATTGGAGTGATTGCCTCTCAAAACCAGTTATAATTTGAGTTTCTGAGCTTCGGGATGGATACTATATAGTTTGAGATTTAATTTTGGAATTCCAGTTATAAAAGAATGTTATAAAAGAAAGATCGATTTTGTTAATAAAATCTAAATCTTCATGACATATATAAATATTGAAGCCCACGGTGAAATTTCTATAGATCCGAGACTCCGAGTGGCGGTAATAATTTTGTTTTAGTTTAGTAGATGAGAAAGGTGGCTAAACATCAATTTAGTATGAAGATGTGCGTCCTTAACACGTAATTTTGATACAAATAATGTTTCGGTGGATCACACAAGAACGGTCAAGCCAATTTCATCACAAAACTGTTGGAGAAAGTACGGCCAGAAGGACATCCTCGGAGCCAAATTTCCGAGGTTAGTCTCGTAATTAAAACTACAACACATAATAAATCAGGAAAAGCTTGATTTTAAACAATTGTGACAGGAACATAGTACTACACAAACACAAGTAACAAACATTTATTATAGTCTTAAAATCATACGAGGAACAACAAAGAATAAAAAAAATCAACTTTTTTTGTTGGTACAGAGGATACTACAGATGCACGTACAGAAAATCTCAAGGATGTGAAGCAACCAAACAAGTCCAGAGATGTGACGAAAATCCGATGCTCTTTGAGATTATTTACCGAGGTATACATTCTTGCTCCCAAGCCGCAAATGTCGGTTCAACCATTCCGGTACAGATTCTTGAACCGAGACAGACGCAAGAACACGAGAATCTTGAGATCGTGAAAGAAAGTCTAGACACTGGTCATCACAGCTACAATCATCAAGCACCTTTGCATCAAACCCTTCACTATCCTTTGTCCTCTTCCCCAAATGTAGAGAGTAACAACGCCTATATGCTTCCACTAGTAGATCACAACAATGAATTCTTCGGATCTACGAGTTACAGTGATCTAGGAACCAGGGCCGTGCCAACCTTAACCGCTTCCATAAGCAAATATTTTAAAAATGCCCATAAAAAGATATTGTGTAATAATAAATATGATTGTCACATAATGAAAATAATAAATCCAAACTAATAAACTAAACGTTATTATGAAACATAATTTTCATTTTTTCTCACAAAATGGTTAACGAGACTTTTTATAATCAATAATTTTAATTAGTTATGTTTCATGGATAAGACAGCCAAATAACAAAAGAGTTGAAATTTACTTTATTACTAAAAACTAAATTATTGGACAAAATGCTAGAAAAACTTGATTACTAATGAAACTTTATGTAAGCAAATGCTTCAAAATCTGTAACGTAGGCACGGCACTGCTAGGAACTAATGCCAACTACGATTTTCTTGCTTCTCGCGATGCTGGCTCGGCTTCTCACTCTACATCAAACTCTCCGTCCCCGTTCAAAAGCTTTGATCCAAATCATCCATTCAGTGGTTTTGGAGGGTTCTAGACTAAGAGGGAATTAAGTTTTACGTGATATCTTGATTAAAGAGATAGTTATTCATAATAGCTAGTCAAATTCTTATTTAATAATCCTACTTGATTTTGTAATCATGGTATTGTTTTATTTTCTTCTGCTCATTAATTAAGCATTTATTTTGAGATCTATGTTGGAATAAGCGGATTTGAACTCTCCATCTTATCCTTGTTAATTTATTTACGAAATCTAACAAAATTGAATCTTGCTTTCTTTTATCTATAATGTTAGAGATTGGTTTTATTAATCGGTTTCTAAACAAATGGCGCCATTGATACTATATAGTTTGAGTTTTAATTTTAGAATTCAAGTTATAAAAGAATGTCATTTGCATGATGTCATTAAGATACTGACTATGTGAATGAAGAAAGATGTAATTCGATGAAATATATTCCCAATAGCTCAACGCACATCAACGTTATACAAATGAACTTAAGTAGACTAGTGCTTTCCAGTATGATTATTTTGTTCAATGTGTTTTAGGATATTTTTGTTCTTTCTTTTTTTTTTTCATGAAATGGTTGTTGGTAAATCATACCGCATGAAAAACTTTGACATATTTTTGGGGAGAAAGCCGACGACTAAACGAGTAGCGAGCGAATGTATGGTATGATATTAGACAAAAAGAACTTAGAAAGGGAATGTGTATGATATTAGACGAAACTAAGACTACCAAGGAGAAGAAACTCAAAAAGGCACTATTGAGCGTAACTGTTAGTAAATTTGAAGTGAATGTGTACTTAAAAAAAATTCAAAATTTAGTTAATCGGTCTGTAATAATAAGGCTACGTTTATGCGATTACTGAGAGTGAGAAAACCATCCACGTATCTGGGGGCCCTTTAGGGAATATATTCTCATCCACTATTAACTAGCCACGTCACTCCTCTCGCCATCTCCAGACTTGTGCTTTCTCGCAGCCGTTGATTATAATTCTATAGCCTTGTAGGCCGTTGGATCTTCCTGAGATGCCGAACTTATACTGTAGTTTATTGGCATCTTTACTCACACAGATAACTTAATAGATCTACATTTATATTTTTTTTTGGATAAAAATCTACATTTATATCTACACAAACTTATTTCATACGAATGAAGCTTATATTCCACGATTTTAATAAACAGGAAAGGATAACATGATCATACTGGAAATTAAAACAAGCATATAAAAGAATCGTGACAAGTAATTTATTTTAATTAATGACAAGAGGTTTATTTGGGAGCTAGAGATTTTGAATTCAGTTAATTTATAGCCGTTGTAATGATTTTATATGGCTCAGTTAGTAACAATTGCATTTCGGTATGGATGAGAAAGATTTAAACAGATTTTTTGTTTTTTGTTTTTAAGTTTTAAAATAGAAAAGGCAGCTGGCTCTCTTGCCTAATACGATATATTTAAAGACATAGGAGCATAATTTCAACATGATTATTAGTTATTGTAATTTGTTTTTATTTTTGCATTTTATCGGGGATAAAGAAAAGCGTGTTTTCTTTTTGGATTTTATCCTCCGTCTTTGATTCATCAGGAGACTCGACTAGAGAGACTCAACGTTGTAAAAGTTGTTCTCGAAAGTCGTAATTACGGTCGTATTTTTCTATTAAAAAAAACAAAAATTAGACGAAACAACCGTCTTTCTTCGCTTTTGGCCTCCTTTTGTTTTCATTGCTTCCCTCTCTCCCTCCTTCGTTTAAAATTCTAAAAGCTCGTCGGAGAAACCCAGTAGCTTCTCCAGAGAATCCTCGCGAAGTAGACATTGAAGCTCCAAATTCTGGTGACGATGACGAAGATGAGCTCGTGGAATTACGTCGCGACGACTCACAATCCCAGCAGTGTCTCACATTCATGCGTCGGAAATTTCACCAGTCCTGACGATCGCAATCTCATTTTAGCGTAATCTCCTCCCTCCTCTTTCTCTCTCTCTCTTATCAATTTTAGCCTGTTGATTTGGGAATTAGGTTTTTCTAGAAAGCATCACGGCTCCAATTTCTTTCACTGTGTTCTGTTTGCAAACAAATTTGACGGAGGAAAGTCGTTCTCGATTTCGATCATGTTGACCGCTCTCGATTTGGGGGACTTTGACACTGCAAATTGTTTGAACCTCGTCTCCTTTTTTTTTTTTTTTTTTTTTTTCAGCAAAGGGAATCGATTAGAGATTCATCGGATTACTGGAGATTCCATCTCGCTTATGATGGATATTCCAATCTACGGAAGCATCCAGACTTTGCAGAAATCTTATCCTGGGGACCATGATAGTTGCAATTTGGTCATTACAACTAAAAAACACCAAATAATTGTTCTTCAATTCGACGCCAAATCTCAAGAGCTCATTACAAGGTATATATCAGAAGAATATGACACTGTTTTCATGCTGTAATCTTTGCTTGTTCATTATGATGCTATTACGTTTTCCAGAGCAATGAAGGATGTTTCTGCTCTTAAAGGCCGACCACCAGACTGCCGTGAGGTATTGAATGTCGTCTTCTTGAACTTTGTATACCAGAGAGCTTAGATTTTCTTTTTTCTTCATTACTATATGTGTTGTGGTCAAGTGTTTTTTGTTGGCTTGTAGCTGACTTCTGGTTTAACACTGGATTTTGTAGATTAGTATAATTGATCCAGATTGTCAAATCATTGGACTCCATATGCGTGATTCATTTTTCGAGGTAAAATGTTGTCTTCTGTGAGAAATCGACATATGGGCTTGTTTGCTGAAGTGTATCATGTTACCCAACTTCTACTGATCCTTTTTTGTTCATACACTGTATGATGATGTCTTCTGTTTCTTTGATTCTTCTGTCAGGTTATTCCATTTGATGATGAGGGACATCTCAAGGATCCTTTTTCGAAATAGTAATGATCTTTTTTTGTCAGCATGTTTAATTTTGGAGCCTCCAAAGCTTAAATTCTACTCTCCTTTTATGCTTCAGATTCTACTCTACTCGCAAATCCCCACTCGACTTACTTCTCTCGATATATTTGACTGTGGTGCCTAAATTTCAGCCTGGAGGAACCGATTATTCTCGATATCAAGTTTCTGTTTGGATATGAAAATCCCACAATTGCAGTACTTTACCAGGTATGGAAATATCCTACAACATGGATGTGCTATAGAGTTTTTCATTGGCATGTGTGAACCTTGTTCTTTATTTTCAAGTCTCAACAGAGTGCCTTTGGCAGTTTGTTATATCTGTATTCGATGAAGTTTTAACAGAGTAGCTTTACTATCTTTATTTGAATGGTAGTTGCGTTAACAGATCTTTTCTGTTGTCCGTGAAGCAATCTAGAACTTTATCCAGACGGGCTAACTAATGCTTGGTTTCGTAGGAATGCTTAATGAATGATGATGCTCGTTATATCAAGACATATGAAATCATTCTAGAAGATCAGCAGTTTGTCGAGGGTCCATGGTCACTGACAGCTATCGACAATGGTGCTCACCTACTAATTCCTGTACCACAAACTCTTGGTGCTGTCCTTATAATTGGTGAATTCGAGATAGCGTATTTTGATTTTGACGCTAAGGTACTCAAAAGATTAGAAATCAGTCAGGTAAGCTCTTCATAATTTCAACTACTTTTACTATCATTTGCTTGAGCTCTCCATGCGTACCCCTTTTTTGTTTTCTTCTTTGAATGTGTGACCTTCATTTTTCGTGTTCAGTCAGCCTTTCTAGGATATGGGACAACTGATGGCTCTACGTATCATCTGTGGGACATTGCCGGACTGTTAAGTCTACTTATTATAGAACGTGAAAACGACACGTGAGTGTGCATGTGTACTTGTTGTTACATCCTTCCAAATGCTATACAATTGAAAGCTCTACTGAACTTATTTATTTTATGGATATGCTGACTTTATCTGTATATGCAGGGCCACGCCCACTAACCTCAGACTTGTGCATTTGGGTGAAACGTCTATTGCATCTTCTATATCATACCTTGATAACAATGTTTTCTTTGTGGGATCAAGCCATGGCGATTCACAGGTGTGCTAAGAATGATTATGGTCTCACTTACACAGTTCTCTCAGTCTGTTCTTCTAGAATGTAAATTGATACTTGTCCATTTTGCGTCCAATTGTTAATTTGGTGAGACTCTGTTTATTCTTCATCAGCTCACAGCAAAGACAGAAATTCAAAGAAAAACACCATCCTTTTTTTCTCTCTGGTTTCTAGGAAAAGTGAAATCAACCATCTGAGTTTTTCCATGTTTGGGTTTCTAATTGCAGCTAGTCATGACGAATCTACATCCTGATGCAGAAGGTTCATTCTTAAAAGTCTTGAAAAGGTATACCAACTTGGGACCTATGGTTGACTTCTGTGCAGTCGACCTAGAGAAACAGGGGCAATGTCAGGTTGTGACCTGTTCTGGAGAATTTAAGGATGGTTTTCTCGGCGTAGTCCAAAAAGGAATAGGAATTGATGAACAGGTTTGTTTTCTGTCACAAAACTCGATGTCCTCTATGTACAATTTTTCTCATCTGGTTTCGATCTTAACACTCTGCTGTATTACACAGGTTTATATGAAACTTCAAGGTATCAAGGAAATGTGGTCGTTGAAGACTTCAGTTGATGAATCCTTCGACACATTCCTCGTAGTTAGCTTTGTCAGTGAAACTCGTGTATATGCCATGAATCCTGAGGGTAAATTACAAGGAACGGAGATTAAGGGCCTCTTGTCTCAAGTGCAGACTTTATCTTGCCATTCTGCTATGTACAGTCAACTTGTACAGGTAAGGTTTTTCTAGCACTTAAGGATTTTCAAAATACAATCAATGTAATGGATAGCTGTTATAGATTAGTTTCCTGTATGAAATAGTTGTGTGGACTGTCCTCTCTTTTCGTGAACATGGATTAACTGCTGCCTTGTGGATCAGGTTACTCCAAATTCTGTTAGACTTGTCAGCTTTACAAGTGGAGAATTGCGGGACGAGTGGCACGCCCCAGTTGGATCCACAGTTAATGTTGCAACCGCAAATGCGAGCCAGGTTTTTCTTTTCATTCTGGATTTGTTTTGATAGTATTGTATGTAGCCACAGTTTTCGAATTAAGGATTTTTGATTTTGGTAGGTTCTCTTGGCGACTGGAGGTGGCCGTTTGGTTTATCTAGACATTGGAGATGGGAAACTGGCGGAAAAGGAACATGCCGATTTGGAGGACGAGGTTTCTTGCCTCGATATAAATCTAATCGTTGATGACGATCCTAAATACAGTCAGCTAGCTGCCGTTGGGACGTGCACAGAGATCAGTGTGAGGGTTTTCTCGCTGCCGAAACTGACTCTTCTTACGACAGAGCTACTGGGAGGAAAGATAACTCCCCAGTCTGTTCTTCTCTGCGCATTCGAAGGGGTATGATTCCATTGAACCTCACTTCAGACAAGCCCTACTACAACCGAGCTAAATTTTACTGTAGAACCTAACAATGTTATGTTGCAGATATCTTACCTGCTCTGTGCTCTTGAAGATGGCCATCTTTTTAACTTCCAGTTGGATACACGTACCGGGAAACTGAAAGACGGAGAAAAAGTATCTCTCGGGACTGGGCCTATAACTCTGCGTGCATTCTCATCTAAAAGCGCCACACAGGTCTTTGCTGCATCAGATACACCAACCGTCATCTCTAGCAGCAACGAGAAACTGTTATACAGCAATGTCAATTTTACAGAAGTTAGTCACATGTGTCCTTTCAGATCTGCTGATTTTCCCAACAGGTAAACCAAATATTCGCCATTTGTTGGTTTTGGCTTTCCGTTCCAAGTTCTAGGCTGAAGTTAAAGGCTGTGAAATGAAATATGATTCTCTCTTCTCTCTTATGAGCAGTTTCGCATTTGCCAGTGATGATGAAGTTACGATAGGCACCATTGATGATATTCAGAAGGTTCAAGTCCGTACCATTTCTCTTGAACAGCAACCTCTTTGTATTTGCCATCAGAAGCAGACAGGTACACTTGGTATCTGCAGTGTAGAAAAACACGGAAAATCTGAAAGCCATTTTGTCCGTCTCGTAGCTGACAAAACTTTCGATATTCTGTCAACTCATCCCTTGGAAGCCTCTGAACAAGGTTGCTCCATACTAAGCTGCTCGTTCACCGGTGATGAAAACTTCTATTACTGCGTTGGAACCAAGTATGGTGATCCGGACGAAGCTTTTCCAACTAAGGTATCTTCTTCTCTCACCGGAGGCATATAACTATCCCCAAGTCAAAATATCTGCTTTCTAATTTGTCTTTGAACTTTGGTGTTTTGTGAAATCAGGGAAGAATACTAGTATATCTAGTTAAAGATATGAAACTGAATCTCATTTATGAGAAAAAAACTGAAGGAGCTGTACATTCCCTCCATGCATTTCATGGCAAGCTTCTTGCAGCAATTAAAATCAGTATTCAACTACAGGAGTGGATACTGCCGGATCTTATATTAGAGGCTGAATGTAGATATGATGGAGGTGCGAGATTACCATGTGTTCAGACCCGTGGAGACTTTATCTTTTTTGGTGGTGAAGGGCCATCGGTCTGCTTGCTGAAGTACAAGGTATAAATAAAACTTGTTTCTGAAATGAAACTTGTATATGAAGTTAAAATTTGTATATGAAACTGATTCATGACTGGTTTCTTTGATTTATCTGTTTTGCTCTGTTACTAAAAGCACGAGGAAGGTGTAATTGTGGGACAGGGTTCGGAATGGGAACTCAATCCGAATTCCACGTCAGCGACTGAGATACTGGATGGCGATATATATCTTGGTGCTGAGAACAGATTCAATCTGTTTACACTGAAGAAGGTCGATGAAGGTAGAGGATTTTCAAAGCTAGAGGTAGTTGGGGAGTATCACCTTGGGGAGTTAGTGAGCAGATTCCGCCATGGATCTCTCGTAATGAGACAGCCGGATTCAGAGATCCCAACTGTTATCTTTGGTACGGTCGGTGGAATGATTGGCGTGATTGCCTCGCTGCCTGAAGAACAGTATATTTTGATGGAGAAATTTCAATCAACTTTGAGGAAAGTGATTAAAGGAGTTGGCGGATTAAGCCATGAGCTATGGAGGTCGTTTGATAACAATCACAGAACAGCGCAAGCTAGGAATTTCTTGGATGGAGACTTGATCGAATCGTTCCTGAATCTGAGCAGGGACAAGATGGATGAGATATCTACATGCATGGATGTTCCAGTGGCAGAGCTGCGTAAGAAAGTTGAAGAGCTCACCAGGCTTCACTAAGCCGCTCAATCAATGCGTGGTCCAAGTCTGCATGGATGGAAAAAGGTGAATTTCTATTGCTGCTTTTATGTTAGAAAATTTCGTGGTATTTGATGAGATTTAGGTCATGAAAATTGGGAAAATCTATTAAGCTTTCTACTAAAATGTTTTCTTATTACAAAAATTTCAGATATCCCAAATTCTGTATTAATTCTAGAGATTAAGGGCATATTCGTTTGTGCATTCGGATATTGCATTTATATTTTCAAATGCCAGCATTTAGATGTTGTTTGTTTTCAAAATAGTTTTTGCATTTAAAAATTGCATTTAAATATAAAATTATTCTTTTGTGAATTTCTTAAAAAATCTAAATGCAAAATCTATCCGATAAAAATTTAAAATTTATAATATTGATGAAAAAATACAATTATACTATTTTGGTGAAAACTGGTTTTTCGCCAAAACTGTAAAAACACATTTTTTGGGATAAACAAACGGGAAATTGGGATGAGATTTTTTAGAAACGAAAATGAGACGGGAATATGAGAATCAAAATAGTTATCCTATATATGTTTTATTTAAATTTTGGGACAGAACAGGAATGAAATGGAAATTTCCAAAATCATTTTTTCTCGCCAAAAACATAAAATTACGGTTTTTAATTATAATTGAAAATTTATAATTTTACGTTTTTGATGGAAAACATATTTTTTACGGTTGTGATCGTGGATTGTGATCGCCTCATGTCAGCCTTCGCAGATATTTTATTGCAAAATCATTAATTCATTTCATAGAGTCGAACGTTTCATTTCTCTTAACAAAAGCATAAAAACACAACACGTGTTAGGACACGTGTGTGGCAAAGATATTAATGTGTTTTTGTCAAGTTATGATGATAATGGGCGCGATGCCACCACACATTCGAGTTAAAGATTAAGAGATTCTATTAAGATGGGCTTTGTTTTTATTTAATCTTCTTAATCTATATAGTATAAGGGGTGAGTTTTAAGTTAGGTTAACGCTAATCTTCTCTTTCTCTCTCTTTTATCTTATCATCGCAGCTGCGCTTAGCCTCCCCCTCCCTCCCCATTTTCTTTGCTTTTCTACAAGAACACCATGTTTCATTCATTGAGATTCTGATAGAGAATAATCCTATATCAGATTCTTTCAAAAGGGAAGCCAATCCAAAACCAACCAACATTCATGAAGAAAAAGAGGAAATTCTATGCCGTAATTGAGAGGTTCTCATGTCTGTGTATAATACTCTTAATCCGATTTGTGTTCTCAGTTGAGCTTTTGGGATTAAGAGTATTATACATACATATATATAGAGCCAGATGGGAGATAATTGTCTCTCTGATTTTGGATCAAGCATCAAGACCGATCCATGGCTTGTGATCTGTTTCAGGGTAATACTCTAGTCCAATTTTTTTAGCTTAATTTTGATAAAATGCCCAGTTACTCTCTCCATTTTGATAGAAAAAAAAAAGAACAGATCGCCAAGTTAACCCTAAAATTGAAATTGAAAAAAAACAATTGATAACATTTTGAAATTGAGGTTGAAGTCCATTTTGATAACCCTAAAATTGAAATTGAAATTGTTAACCCTACAATTGTTAACCCTAAAATTGAAGTCCATTTTGATAACCCTACAATTGAAGTTGTCCGACCAAAGATTTTACCCACCCGATAGTAAAATCCTGCAAATAAAGTCCATTTTGATAGTCCATTTTGATAACTACAATTGAAGTCCATTTTGATAACCATTGAAGTCCATTTTGTTATCTCCATTTCGATAGTAAACAAAATTGAAATTACATTATTCTCCATTCCCAGCTCGCGATTGTAACCCTAAAATCACATTGTTCTCTCCCGTCTCTCTTAGACCGTCTCACTCGATCTCTCCCGTTTCTGCATCTGCTTCCTTCCTTTCTCCGTCTTCATGGAGCAGCTTTTGGATGCAGCAGATACCGGTGATCTAGAGGCACTGCAAACGGCCTTCGATGGCCTCCCGGCCGTACGTGGAACCACTGCTCTGACACAACGGCGTAAGATACTCGGAAAAGCACTCTACTCCACCATCTGTACGTGGAGAAGCGGCTGCCCTCGCTCCTGCGGTCACTTCGCATGTTTCGAGGTTTGTACTTCTCTCTACCTTTCCATCTCCGTTCAGCTTAGGTTTTTGTAGACCCATTTGACTCTAAGTTCCCAGGTTTAGATATTTGAATTTTGAAAATAACTCTACTGCCTTCGATTAGTTTCTCTGTTGTGATCTGAATACAATTTCTCGTTTATCTCCTTGGTAGTTTCTCTTTACCCTGCGATTTGAACAACTAACAGTCCCTCATTTTAAGCTAAATCCATGCTGCGTAGCCTTATAACCTGCTCCAACCTCAGTGTCTGCAATTTGGTTTTCCTTGTAACAGTGGCAAAGCTTGACAACTCCCTTAGATAGTGAAACCTCCTTTAGATAGGCAACACCATAGCCTTTGGCCACTAGCCTCCCTTTGTACACACTTCTCTCTACCTTTCCATCTCCGTTCAGCTTAGGTTTTTGTATACCCATTTGACTCTAAGTTCCCAGGTTTGATTCTTTTCTATTGATCCAATCTTCCTCATCATTGCTTCTCTCCAAATCTTCTGTTGCTCAGCATCCTCAAACCGTGTTGGCTCATGTTTCTCTCACGCGTTCCCCTCCCTGGAACTGAGCTAATTGCTCCAGGTGATTCTCCCCGAGGTGAATCGTTTGGAGCAGAAAAATTTGGACTCTTGTTGGACTTGTAGCAGAGACAGCCTCTGTCACATTACCTGGACTTGTTCCAGAAACTGCTCCTGCGTTTTCTTCTTGTTGTTTTGCGTTATAAACTTTCCTGTGATTTGGATATAGCTCTACATTGTGTGCCTTGGATATCTCCTAGCTTTAGGTCCTTGGTAGCTTTGCAAACACATCAACATTAAGAGTTTCTTTGTCTTTTAACTGATTTCTATGTTTTTCTTCTTCTTTGCTTTGGTGTAGTTCCTCTTGACAGCTGGAGCAGATGTGAAGTACAAGAGCGACAAGGAACAATATACTTGTTTGCACCGTGCGATGGATGCTCATAGACCGATGCCTTATGTCCGCCTCCTCACTGCTCATGGAGCAGATCTCGAAGCTAGGGACTGGTTGGGCGTCTCTCCTCTCGCTGCTGCATGTTCTGGAGACAAGCCAGAGTGTGTTGTGCATCTGCTGGAAGCTGGAGCAGAGAGAGATGCTCTGATTTGTGGTGGCAGTACTGCTCTGCATTTCGCTTGCACTGGACCAAGCTTGCCTTGTATCAAGATTTTCCTTGAGGGTGGAGTATCTGTGGATAGTCGGTCAGGCGACGGGTATACGCCTCTGCATTCTGCATGCGAAGTTGGTGATGTAGATACTGTGACGTATCTTCTCCAACGTGGTGCAGACAAGGAGCTTACTACTACTGGAGGAGATGGAGTCACTGCTTTGCATTTAGCTTGTCGGGATGGGCACTCAGAATGTGTTCGGCTTCTCGTAGTCAACGGTGCAAATAAGGATGCGACAGACAATGACGGCCTGACTCCGTTGATGTATGCTGTACTTAGCCGGCTATCAACTTGTGTGAAAGTAGTGAAAGTAAGTTACCTCTCTGTTTAGTTATTTGGTTTATAAATCATCACCACAAAAAAGTTAACCTATTTTGTTATTGATTATCATCACAGGTTCTTATCAAAAATGACGTTAATGTGAATGTACGTGTACGTGGCCCATCGAAGGAAACAGCGCTGCATAAGGCGGTCGATCTTGTTCTTGACTGGGACCCTCAGATACCACTCAAATTGATAAAGCTTTTAGCTCCACTTAGCAGTCCTGAGATTATCAAGGTAAAATACAATAAACTCATATAATGGCTCAACTTAGTTGTTTTTAGTCTAAATATTAAATATTAAAGTTGAGACAGCAACTTAGTTGGCTCAACTCAGTTGTCTTTTAGTCTAAATATTAAATATTAATGGATTATGCAGGAGGCAATCAGCGAAGCCGTCAGTGTTGAAGTGAGGGAGCTATTGCAGTCGTATCTGGACGAGAGTTGAGAGTTGAGAGTTGAGAGTTGAGAGTTTTCTTTTGGCTCTCTAATATCATATCACTCTGTTGCTTGTTTTTTATTTTATCTTTTGGGATCTTTAGTATCATTTGACTCTGTCTTTTTATCAATATGTGGTCCAAGTCTGGATGGATGATGAATTGAATTTCTAGAGTTGTGTTAGAAAATTTCGTGGGATTTGATGAGATTTAGGTCATGAAAATTGGGAAAATCTATTAAGCCTTTTCTACTAAAATATTTTCTTATTACAAAAATTTCAGATATCACAAATTCTGTATTAGTTCTAAAGATTAAAGGCATGTTCGTTTGTGCATTTGGATATTGGATTCAAAAGCAGAAGCATTTAGATGCTGTACATTTTTGAAATAGAAATTGCATTTGGATATAAAGTTGTTCTTTTATGAATTTGTTAAAAAATCTAAATATAAAATCTATCAAATAAATATTCAGAAATTACAGTATTGATGAAAAAACATAATTTTACGATTTTGATGAAAACCGATTTTCCGCCAAAATTGTAAAATCACGTCTTTTCGTCAAAACTGTAAAACCATATCTTTCCGTTATAATCGTAAAATCATGTATTTCCGCCAAAAAACGTAAAATCACGGCTTTCTGCCAAAAACAAAAAATAACGTTTTTCTACCAAAACTGTAAAATCGCATTGTCCCTCCAAAACTGAAAAATCATGTTTTCACGCCGAAATCGTAAAATTGCGGTTTCTTATCATTATTACGGAAAGCCACAATTTTACGTTTTTGACGGAAAAACGTGTTTTTACGGATTAAAGAAAAATCATTATTTTTATGGTTTTGGTGGAATTTTGCAATTTTGGCGGAAAACATGATTTTACAGTTTTGACGGAAAACTGTGATTTTATGGTTTAACAAAAAAAAACACGTGATTTTCAAAATAGTTTTTTGCATTTAGAAATTGCACTTGGATGTAAACCGTAAAGTTGTTCTTTTGTAAATTTGTTAAAAAAATCTAAATGCAAAGCAAAATCTATCAAATGAAAATCCATATTTTACAGTTTTTGTGGAAAAACAAAATTTTACGTACAAATACGTCAAAAACCATAAACTTATGTCTTTCCACTAAAACCTTAGAATCACGTATTTCCGTCAAAACCGTAAAATAAATGACTTTCCACCAAAACCGTAAAATCACGTTTTTCCGTCTAAAATCAGGTTTTTCTGCCAAAATACGTAATATCACTTTTTTTTTTGCCAAAACGTAAAATCACATTTTTTTTTGCCAAAACTGTAAAATCATGTTTTTCCGCCAAAATGTAAAATTGCGGGAAAACAAGAGATTTTACGATTTTGGCAGGAAAACAAGAGATTTTATGGTTTTGGCGGGAAACATGAGATTTTACGGTGTTTGTGGGAAAATGTGATTTATGGTTTTGTGCAAAAACTGTAATTTTACGGTTTGGCGTAAAACAGCGATTTTATGTTTTTGACAGAAAAATGTGATTTTACGGTTTTGATGAAAAATAGTGTTTTTGCGGATTGACTCACCCCGCCACGTCAGTTTAGTACATCAGTCATGTGATTATCAACGGTTATATTCACACGGCTAGAGCCTAGACACGGGCTCATCTCTTTGTTTGCCGGGTTCACATCGTATCAGCTAACGGTCTAAAGTAATACCAGTGATCATCTATATAATAGATTACACATATAAATCGTGTGAGCTAGATAATAATGATCATACCCCTGGAATTGTTTACTTACTTCTCTAAAATGAATGGTAAATAGTTGGTGAAAAAGACAAATGATACTCACCTACGCTACAATTTGGTGAAATATTCCCACTGGAAAATGAGGAGGAAAAGATTGCAGCTCTTTCAGGTTTATTTCCTTCTAGTTAGGCCCTGTTCGTTTGCTCATCTAGCTGATCCATCTGGATGGAGCAGTTGGATGATATTCGTTTAATACAAAAAATGAGCATTATTCAGCTGATCCATCTAGATGGATCATCTGAGATTTAAAAAATTTAGGCTAAAATTTCAATATTCAGCTGATCCATTCAGCTGATCTGAATTGAGCATCTGGCTGAGCCATCTTCATTCCAAATATACAAATGACAAATATATCCTTCAAAATATATTTAAACAAAAATTCTTTCTAAATATATCCAAAACATCAAAATCATTTTTTTTTATCAAAACTACGAAATCAAAATTATTCGCAAAATTATATTTTCTCGTCTGACCCGTAAAATTATGTTTTCCGTTCAAAAGCAAAAATAACGTTTTTCCGCAAAAATCGCAAAATTGTGATTTACCTCCAAAACCGCAAAATAACATTTTTCCGCAAAAGCAAAAATAACAATTTTCCCGCCAAAACGCGAATTAACATTTTCCCGCCAAAATCGCAAAATTGTGTTTTCCCGAGAAAACCGTGAAATAACATTTTTCCGCCGAAATCGCAAAATTGTGTTTTCTCGTCGAACCCGCAAAATAACAATTTTCCCGCCAAAACAGTGAAATAACGTTTTTCTGCCGAAATCACAAAATTGTGTGTTTTCCGTCAAAACTGCAAAATAACATTTTCCGCAAAATTAAAAATAACGATTTTCCCGCCAAAACCGCGAAATAACATTTTCCTGCGAAACCAAAAATAACGCTTTTCCTACCAAAACCGCGAAATAACTTTTTCCGCCGAAATCTCGGAATTGTGTTTTCCCGTCTAAACCGCAAAATTACGATTTTCCGCATGCCGCTAAAATCGTAAAATCATTTTTTTCCCAAAAAATCGCAAAATCACATTTATCTGCCAAAACCTTGAAATTGCGTTTTTTTCTGGCGAAACCGCAAAATTGCGAAATTACGTTTTTGTTGATACCGCAATTTTCATGAAATTGTGTTTTCCGTTCGAAACTGGGAAAATCACAGTTTTCCGTTCAAAACTTCAAAATCACAGCTTAAACCGTAAATTCATATTTTTCTGCTGAAATCACAAAACCGTGTTTTTCGCTTAAACCGAGAAATCACATTTTTGTTGATACCGCAAAATTGTTTTTTTTCGCTTAAAACCGCGTGAAATCGTATCTTCGACCAAAACTGTGAAATCTCGTTTTCTGTTAAAACCACGAAACTACAATTTGTTGTGTTTTTTTTTTAGAATGATTATAAGTTTTTTGATTGTTGGGATTACAATAATCTAATATGTGAAAACATTGGATTATAGTTTATAAAGTTGTGTTTTTTTTTTCTCAAATTAAAATAAGGGTATTTTGGTCATTATTTATTACAAACAACTGAATGATCTATATGAGTGAAGAAACAAACAAGATAATCATCTGACTGAACTAGGCCTGCGACTTCGGTTTAACCGAACTGAACCGGCCAGTTATTTCGGTTTCTCGGTTATTTTAGAATCTGAAAATCTTACCGAAATTAACCGAAATAAATTCCGGTTCGGTTCGGTAGTCGGTTATTTCAGAAATTTTAAATCATATCGAAGTGAACCGAACTTTTCTATTTTTAATTAAATTTGATTTAAATTTAATTCACTTTGGTTAAATCAGTTCGATTTGGTTTATTAATTAAAACAGAAAAAATCAAAATTGGAACAATTCCAAATCTGGCGAGACTTCACGACCAGTATAGATCGCAAGGTTAGTTGTCACTAGATTCAAAGCCCTAGCAATCTATCACCGACAAATTTACAGTCCTCTTATCATTTTGAGATTAAGAAGAAAAGTAATGAAAGAGGAAAAGAAGAGAAGAAGAAGAATCAAAGGAGAGAAAATCGAAGAAGAAGAGGAAAAGAAGAGAGAAGAATCGAAGGAGAAGAGGAAAAGAAGAAAGAAAAAGAGGAAAAAGAGGAATCGAAGAAGAAGAAAATCGGAAGAAGGGAAGAAGAGGAAGGGAATATAAAATGAATCTTAGATCCACAAAAAATGAAGTGGCGGTCATGTAATATAGTTAGGGTTTTGTGTTTTTCGGTTAACCGTTCGGTTCACTTGAACCGAACCGAACAAACCGAGAACCGAACACAAATAATAATCTTGCCGATCGGTTTGCTTCATGTAAAAGAACCATAACCGAACTAACCAAAACTCGGTTCGGTTCGGTTATAAATCGCAGGCCTAGACTGAATCATCTGACTGTATCATCCGGATGAGAGTAACAAAAAAACGAACAACATCCAACTGCTTCATCTGGCTGAATCATCCAACTGTACAAACGTACAGGGCCTTAGTCACTCTAATTTACTAAATCTGTATAGATTTTTCAGATATCACTCGTGAAATTTCAGATGTCACGAGTTAGCAATAAAAGGGTATATGTTTATTGATTCACAGTAACAATTGTTAGTTTGCATATAGGACCGGATGTAAGTTTTGAACCACGTAATAATAATATAATAAATCAAGATGCGTTCTCACAAGTTTTACCATAAAAGACAAAAGAAAGAAGACACAACAAGCAAGGTCCACGCCACGACATGAGATCCGCAAACAAACATAACAAGGACAGAGCAGAAAAGAGAGAGAGAGAGCTCTCAAGACAACAAGGCTTTCGTGCAGCGAGCCAGGGCCTTTTCCTTGGGATTGTGGGGAAGCTTTGCACAGTGAGGTTGATCATCTTCCAGCCTTGAGCAATGTTGACGTTTAAAGTCCTCAAGCCAACTCATAACATTGGGATCAGCAGGGTTGGCAACATTAGGAACATCAACAGTCAGAGGGAATTTGCAGCCTTCCTGAAGCAAGTACAGCATGTACTTCTTCGCCGCCGCATCAGAATCATCATAATCTTGCGAATTGCTCTCTGTACGGCTTGCCATGTACTGCCTCACACAATCGAGAAAAGCCAAACTAGGCATGGCTTTCTCTGCAAGAGCAAACATACGCCCAAGAGAAGACAGTAGCAGGCACTTGAACTTGCACAGTGAGTCACAATCCTCGTTGATCATTTGCCGCATAAAACCATTGGCGGTACTGGTAACCGCTCGAGCTGCATACATGAGTTGGAATACAGCGACCATGTAGCTACCGTAGGGCATTTCGAAACGACGCTCAATCGAGGGATGATTTTGTTTAAACTCTCTCGCGACGCCATTGAGCTTATCAGAAAAGCTACACGCCACGGACAAAACAGTGCGCTTGTAGATCCGACGGAGATCGTTAATCGTATAACTCTTGGGGAGAACAGTCTCGATCAATGCCTCATGCTGAATGCGAGAAACTATGGCATCGGCAAAATCATTTACATTAGGAAGGACACTCATCTTCTTGAAAGGGTTCTCCATCTCCATCTCCACAAGTATGCTAGTCCAAAAAACAAAAAAAAAACAACAAATAGGAATTACTACTGTTCTGTTTCTTTTGAAAAACAAGAGCAGGACATAAATTTCAATCCTTAGCAATTTCAATTCCAAATCCACATCACAAGAACCTCAAACAGTCAAAGGATTGTCGGTCAATGCCAGGCCACAAAATTAGGGTTTACACTTCCAATCAAAAATTATATCCCGAACAAAATCTAGGTCAAATTTCTAAAACAGATAAACGTTTTCCTATCAGATCTGATATCCATACGCAAACCTCCGAAAAGAAACTAAGAGACAGTTGGGGAAAGGGAGAAACTTACTTACCACAGAGATCTAGAGACTTGCGAGGAATTAAACGATGATGATGAGTGAGGAGGCGTGCAGAGAGGTTCACTCCTAACCCTTACCCAGCTTTTTATATCTGACTCTTTAACGTAAATTAGGGCTCACGGCCCATAAACTAAGATTATTCCTCTACATGTCACCTTTTGCCCATTTTTATCTCGGCCCATCCATGATCTCAGCCCATCGTTTCTTCTGGACGCTTTTACCCTTACGTACACATGACACTCATTAGACAAACTTAACGTACGTAGCTGGTTTGCAAGAATAAACCGAACCAACTCGATCTTGCATTAGAATTATTTAGAAACACAGCCTTTATTATGAAAACGTAAAAGGAAATTAAACAAAAAATATAAGATACAATAAGAAGAGAACTAAACCACAAATTAAAGTCCTATTGGGAGCTCGGAAGCAGCAGCTTGGTCGAGATACCAGATGGCTTCCGTATCAGCTGTGAGCCTAGCTGAAGGCAAGGTGAAATCATTTTTAAAAACCTTTGCAACAGCATCTGTCTGAGCCTCACCACAGACGGCCATGAGGTTGTAGGAAGCACAATTAATGACCGGTAAAGTGAAAGTGATTCTCTTCGGTGGCGGTTTTGTAGTGGAGTTGGTGATATAAGTCACCAAACTTGCCTTCTCATTGATCTGATAACGTCCCGGGAACAAGGAAGCCATGTGACCATCTGGACCCATTCCTAGGAGCTGGAGATCGAACTGTGGGAAGCCTGAAGACTTGTATGTCCGGATGATGTTTTGGTTCACCAGTTTTTTTATGCACTCCTCGTAGAGAATTGCGGCTCCCTTGGCATCACCAAGTGCTGCACAGTCTTGGTCAATGGTATAGATGTTGGCAATCGGAATCGAAACCTACATGATATTAATTATATATGGATATGTCATACGACTTGACTTTGTTTATATGATGTGAGAAAATAAGATATGGAGTTTGAGATCATCGTGAAATGTTACCTTGGTATGGGAGAGAAAACGATCCAAGGCCTGTTTGTAATTGCTATCTTCATCGTCCAATGGAACAACTCTCTCGTCAACCCAAAAGATGTGCCACTTTGACCATTCGATCTTATCATCGTACTTGGTATCCAACAATTTACTGCAAAACTTAATTACATCATATTTTACTCTTTTAAAGAAAATTAGAGTAAACAAATTAGGAATATTGTTTCAAAGTTTTTTTGCGTACATACCGGAGCCAAAAGGTGAGGTCGCCACCGGAGATCACGACGGTGAAATAGTCTCTCTCCTCGTAGAACTTTTTGGAGAGATTGAAAGTGTATTCGGCCAAAGCCTCAGCTACATCATCATCGGTGGGAAACACCTTCTTCTTCCTGATCTTCTTTACGGCTGAAGCAGATGCCATATGATTTATTGATATAAGAGAATATGATGAGACTTAATAATATTCAAAGGAGTATAAGGTTTTGAATGTTGAGGATGAGATAATGCTACGACTCTTGACTATTCTTATATAGGCAAAGCGCATCAAGGCCTTCTTCACACTTTCCTCACTAATTTAAAAATAATCGATCTTCAACTTCTTACTCTACCATATTTAATTATGCACAATCTGTTTGAGGGTGTACTCAATCTCTGGGAAGGTTTGAAATGATTTGATTTTTATTAATTTCTTTGATGACTTTTGATGAATTAGGTAAGTTGCTCTGATTTTAATTAAAATACTTAAAAAGGTAAAAACTCACAAAATTTAATAACACTAGAATTTAACAAAGAGTTCGTCATTTTAATACATATCAAGTAAGAAGATAGTCCTATTATTTAAGAGTACAAATGATATACTCTTGTATTTTAACTTGGTCAAAGACATTTTGATGGATTGTTAAATATCCACGAGGGAAATCAAATGATAATTATTTGTTTTGTCTCCACTCTACACTTGACTTGCCTGAACATGATGCGGCATTTTCGACGGATCCTACAAACGGGATTAAAAAGTATGTATATTCATAAATCCCAGGTGTTTTTGTTTAATGAAAATGACCTAGTCTTATTATATAACACAAAATACTGAGTAGAATAGTTTCATGGCCTGCCATCATCATGTGAACACATGTGTTATGCCAGATTCTCGCAATCAGTTACTTATTAATATTTTTCAAAAATCTTAAAAATTATCTGGAAAATTATGGCTTTGTTAATTTAGGCGATTAACTGTGTTACCTACATAATGTACTTAACATAATATAGTTAAAAAAATTCTTTAGAAATCTTCTACCCACTCTCCTAAGATACCCATAATTATTTTGCCTAATATCATCATTATAGTCACAGATTCACAGCATGGGACTAACACAACTAGATAAACACAACAAATCGGGATTCAATACAATTGATACGGGGGCATACACAGAATGCACTAGCCGGTTATTTTAAAACACACAAGCAAGCAAACGCACAGACTCGGTCTCACAAGCACTTAGAGACATTATTTTTATTTTAAAACACACATCATTACTACTAATGTGTTTGGCTCTCTAGAGCATGGAAGCAGCTGCTTGGTCAAGATACCAAACATTTTCAACTTGGGCACTAAGACGAGCAGAAGGTAAGGGTTTGTTTTCCTTCATGATCTCAGAGACAACATGAGCCTGTTCCTTGTCACAAACGGCCATAAGGTTGTACAAAGCCGAGTTGATGACTGGTAAAGTGAATGTGATTCTCTTTGGTGGCGGTTTTGGAGAATCGGTAATGTGAGTGACCCATTTGTCCTTCACGTTGATCTGAGGATGTCCAGGGAAGAGAGATGCCATGTGGCCATCAGGACCCATCCCTAGAAGCTGTAGATCGAACTGAGGATATCCGGTCTTTGGAGATATTGGAATTATGTTTTCCTTCACCAGATTCTTCAGGCACTCCTCGTAGAGCACCGCACAGTGCTCGGCATCACCATCGGTGGCTGAGTTTTTGTCGATTGCGTAGATGTTCTTGTGTGGAATCGGTACCTAAAAGGTGATTATACATTGATCAAAAATTCATGCAATATTAAGCACGTATGTAGAGATCAAATTAAATCGTTATAATATATATGCTGTGATACCACTTATTTAATATTAAGGATTATTATGAGATAATTAATCAGAAATATAATTAAAAAAAAACCTTGGAGAGAAAACTATCCATGGCGAGTTTGTAGTTGCTGTCAGGATCTTCCCATGAACAAACCCTCTCGTCGACCCAAAAGACGTGCCACTTTGACCATTCGACTGAATCAATGTAAGGAGGTTGCACCAACTTGCTACAACAATTAAATTAATTGATTGATTAGTTAGAGCCAAAAAAAGAAGAGAATAACGAATTCAAATATATATATGAGAGTGAGATCAGGGAATAAAAATTTAGAGACCTAAGCCAATCGATGAGGTCACCTCCGGAAAGAACAACGGTGAAAAGGCCTTTCTGTTTACAGAACTTGGCGGAGAGGTTGGCTGTGTACTTAGCCATTGCCTCCGACAGTTCGTTCTTGCTCGGAAAGACAATCATCTTCCTACGCGTAGTTGCCATTGCTGAATCTTGATGGTGGTGTTACGAGTATTTAGGCTTGTTAGTTCTTATAAAGACCGAGTGTGTAAAGGAGCTAGTCACTAAGGGTCAGTGATGAGGACATGTGGCAAACACTATTATTGTACGTTCCCTTTCTCTTACTCACTTTTGTAGCTTTATGCAATAGAATTTATGCCCCCAAGCTTTATTCTGAAATAATTTTTTGAATTATGTAGCTGTCTCTCTCACACACATGTAAAACGAGTGTAGCTAAAATGTTAAAGAAATAGTGGTTACAACATGAGACTTGAAATGGTAAACTTGACCTAACCTTCAATTTCATCTACCATTCTTTTCCATGTAAATCATTTCCTCTTTCAAACTCCGCATTATTGGTGACACTCCTACATGTGGGGAGAAAATTAAATGTAGCTCTAATATAGCAACGTTTTAGTTACGACGACATGCAACAATTATCGCTAATTAATCGATATACGTTGCAACGATAGTGTATGATCTTCTAAATATCTAGAATCTCATTGGTTGGTGAGATCTCTTTTTCTCTAGTGCTTGGAAAAACATTTGTGATTTTGACCATTGAATGAGAAAAGGATATAATTTAGTACTTTCAATCTCTGTAAATACACACAATCACAAAACAACAAACTTCATCTTCACACTATAGTTTCTTATCGTGATTTTTTTTTTTTTTTTTTTTTTTTTTCTTTTTTGACATTTGCATCATATGTGTAACCTTTTGAGTTATATGCATCGTGTGTTACCCATCGAAATAATACTTGTACTGTCATTTTTTGTTTTTAGTTACCACCATCTTTTTTACTGTCCTGGACACTCCATAAATGTTTAACCAAAAACCGGAAGCCGGAGATAAAACCGAAGCAGAACAACACATCTCCGATTCTTCTATAAATATATAATATGTTTACTCTTTTTTGTTTGTTTTGGTTTTTTGGTTCCTCTACGAACAAAATGCTCAAAGAATCATTTACAAAGGAAGTAACTACCTGCCTTCCACTTCCACTTTGTATCTTCGAATCCAAGGTCTCTGCTGACTACGTTGTTTTTTAATGTTTCTTGAGACTCCTTGATTCACACGTTAGAAGACTTTTGTCATGAGGTGTCACCTAGGTCTTGAGCTCGAGCTTCGTACGGTCACACCATGCAAGAACTTAGCGTATCCCAAGAAACTCAGCTTTCCATCCGAACTCCTGATCCAATCCTTGAGCAGAGGATACGCATTTGGTCCCAAACTCATCTCCTGTTTCAAAATCAAGCCACAATGCAAAATGTTATTAATCTTAGGAAAGATATGGTCCTTGCTCACGATCTCATAGAAGCTTAAATTAGGACCATACCCCGGCGAGTTCTTGGACGGAAATGGTTCGGTTTCCTTCTTGTTCAAAGTGCTCAAATGCTGAAGTTGCAATCTGTTCCCATTCTTCAAGAGCTTCCAGTTGGTAAACACTAACCGCAGCAGCACAAAACTCTTCAAAGTCAAGTTTCTTTTGCGCCAGTGGTTGCATCTTCAAAACAAAAAGAAGATAAAAATGGCAGAGTTCAATATCATACATTCATAACTGTTCCTTCCATAAACTTCAAACGCAAAGAAAAAATGTTTATAGCAAGAGATGTGTTACCATGTTCAAAATGTCAGGAAGCCTTGATTCCATCATAGCATCAGTAGCATATCTTGTCAAAGCCTGCAATTACACTCGAGGGTTTTAATTTTGATAGTTTTCTTGCATTAGGAAACTATTTAATGTTCACAATTCAAAGACCGAGTCAAAATGCTATAGCTAAATCAGGGAAGACTCACTGACCGTTGTGAAGCTGTTAAGAGATAGGCCTCCATCTTTAGGGTCCAGGAGCATGAACTGTGCTTTAAGGAACACAAGTTCCTCATCGGGTATAGCTTTGGAGAGAGCCTATTCAAATTATATAAAGATAATCAGATTATTAACACGAGTAGATCAGCTATGTTTAAGTAGAAGGAGAAACGATCCATGCACTTGATAATAACATGAGGGTATCAAAAGATTACCTTAAGTGCTGATCTTCTGAAAGGCGTTGCACGAATATAGGACTTGACCAACTTGTAGACCGAAAAATCAAGAAGCAAACCGGGGTTTTCATCACGTAACCACGGATGAGCTGCAAACAAAGATCATATGATATCACCGCTAATGGAAAGCACAGAAACCCCTTGTTGTTCTTAAAGCCATATTCTTGTTTCCATTTCAAGATCTAAACCACGTAAAAAAGAGCTTACCGAGAGCTTGAGCAGCTGTCATTCGTTTCCTATGGTCCTTGTTGAGAAGCCTTTTCACGAAGTCTTTGGCAGTAGGAGATATTGAAGGCCAGGGCATATCCTCAAAATTAGGGTTTGCTCTTAGCACACAGCGGAATATTGCAGATTCAGTTCTTCCATAGAAAGGTCTGCTCCCACAGAGAAGAATGTAACTTATGACACCGATGCTCCACATATCTGCTTCAGTGCTGTAAGACCTATGGAGTACTTCAGGCGCAACGTAGTACGCACTTCCCACAACATCATTGAGTCGCTGATCTGCATACATCAAAGGTAAACTCATCAGAAAACTTTAATCTCAAAGCCAGGCTCATCACTGAGACATTAATATGTTGAATCATTGAGACGACATTATCATAGAAAAGTTAACTTATCACTGAGACATTGTTATGCAAAATCATGTAATAAGACAGAGGAACTTACCGTATCTAATGAAATCAGACAAGCCAAAATCAATGACCTTGAGTATTGCATCCTCATTTCTGCTGGTAAAGAGAAAATTCTGGATACACATTTGTTTAAGCAACCATAATTAGCTAAAGAAAGAGGGAGTAAGTGGCATTGATTGAAATATAGAGGCACATTGTGTACCTCCGGCTTGAGATCACGGTGCACAACACCTTGAAGGTGAAAAAATGCAGTTGCAGACAAAATCTGCACAAGAATACGTTTGGCATCAACTTCAGGGTATCGACCACCTCTGCAACACAACAATACAAGGTCGAACACATATTCAGTGCAAAGTTAACTTAGCCTGAGTAGGCCAAAATGTAAGCAAGAATACAAAAGAAAGACTAAGAAAGGTTCAATCTTGATTTACCTCGCCAAAATTCTGTCCAATAGCTCTCCACCTTCACATAACCTGAAAACCATGTTGGAAGGGAAGATTGGATATCATTCTGATTTTTGAAAAAAAATGTAACCTTTTGCTTAAAAATGTAACCTTTTTCTTAAGAATGAACCATCTAGAGTTAACTACTTACTCCATAACAACAAAGACGTTATCAGCGTCCTCGTAGGCATCGTAGAACTTAACCATATGCCTATGCCCAGATAAAGCTTTCAGCAACTTCACTTCTCGACGAACATCTTCAATCGATAGAGCCGATGTCATCTTGCAAAACGAAAAACAAAAACGCCACAAATCCAATTCAACATTTCTATACAATATCCAAACCAATGGTCTCAGAACTAGCTAAAGAACCTAGCTTTATCACTCTACGTTACATTAATTGGAGAATCTAAGACTAAATCTTTAGAGATTCTGAAGTCCTGATTCTATGGTGAACAGTGACAACAAATTTCAAAATTCCGAAAATGTTGGATTTTGCTATCAACATTGTCATAATTACACACCTTAGCTTTAGAGATGATTTTGACGGCCACCGTTTGTCCCTTCATCTTCCCTTTCTTCGCCTTTGCCCAACAAGTATGACCGAAATGCCCTCTCCCCACCTCCTTCCCGAGCTCGTACTTCCCTTCCAAGTTCTTCCCGAACCCGAAATTCTTATCCAGCCTCTCCTCTCCGCCGCCGTCTCCTCCGTGTTCCACGTCTTCGCTGTCCTCCGGGATCGGCTCGTCGCGAGGCTGCGGCGGAGCGGCTCGTCTCCGTCTCAGAGCAGCCATAATGGGTTTGGCAGGCGACGGCGGAGGAAACGGCCATTTGAACTTCCTTCCCGGGGTTCTCGCCGGTGATGGAGCTACTCCCGCCGGCAACGGGCTTTGAAATGGGCTGATGGAGTAGGAGTTGACTTCGGGAGCACCGGACGCGAGCGGAGACTGAGGAATCGAGGCATGCCGGTGGTTTTCCGTCGGTTGCGACGGAGGATTCGGGAGCTCGCCGGTTTCGACGGGGATCTCGTCATCCTCGACGGCGGAGATGTTCCGGCTGTAACAATGACCCATGGCCGTTGGATATGGAGCTCAATTGAGTGATCGGTCAGAGTCAGAGCATCGGACGGTGAGGAGCCGAAGTTGAATAGTAAGCTCGATATAAAAAAAAAATAATAAGGAGTTAAATCAAAGCCAAAACAAAAAACAAAAAGAAGATCAATTTTTTCAAAAAAGAAACGAGAATTAAAAAAAGGACATGACTTAAAGGAAGCAAAGAGGAGGCGTTTCTTATGACCACTACAACAACCAAGAGCGCGTAGTGGCATTAATCACTTTTAATTCTCTGTTAATTTCATTTAATGACTTTCTCATGTAGACTGTACACGTCAAATCATTTTCACTGTTGAAAGTAACGACGATAGAAATAAAATAAAATTTTCAGAAAAAGTCACGTAATCTATTTTTTGTATTCAACTTAAATTTTGAAAATTAACAATTTTACGAAAACAGGGTAGAAAAGAACTTATTTACCAATTTTAAGAGAAGAACTTCTTCTTTATTGATTTTTTTACAAAACAAATTGCTGAGGTTTTTGCATTTTCAGTAGTTTTTCTTTCTTTATTTGCAAATAGTGAGAAATACTACAAAGTCCTGTTCTTTTCTTCTCGTATATGAAAAGGTTGTTCTTTCTATTGTTGTTGCGACATGAAGGGATTGCTCTTTACTTTCAGTATTTTTGTCTTAAGTTATGAAATGGTAATTATCTCAATTTACTTCAACTTTATAAGAGGTATTCAATTATATATCAGTTATGAAAGTACATACATTGATAACTAGATAATGATTATTACTAAGTACATGATTTAATACTGATTCAATTATTTGGTACCAATGACACATGTCTTAAAAGTCTAGCAAGTGTTTGATACTGTTAGTTAAATATATACTTTTAGTTTTGTCAATTTTTAATGGATGCAAGAGTTTGTTAACGCGTTCGGTTGCAGTTGTAAACGCTAATCAACCTGTTCTTTTAACACTAGCTTGACTAATTTTCTTACAAAAGATTATACCTTATACCTTAAAAGATTTTCTTGACTACCTAATAAATATTCCAATTTTTTTTTTAATAAAACAAACAGAAAAGATGGAGACGGTGATTCTGATCTGTCACAGACTCACAGCGATATGTCAGAGAAACGCGAATACGAGTTAATACGGTTTACCTACTACTCCTCCACCGCCAAGTGGAAAAAAAGACAACAAAAGGCAATTATTAACGTCTGTAATAAAACATCCTTAATACAAACTGATTAGTGAATTTCATTAAACATTGGTCTGGTCCAAACCAGTGAAGCATATGGAGGTATATTGGTTGGTCAAATTGTTTTGGGATCCAAAAAAGTAACATAAAAATGCAGGCAAGACGATTATTGTCGCCTGTTCAACTGGTTTAACCTTAACCAAAGGGGCTAATTCATAGTTAAACCAGAAGATCTATATACCGGATTTACTACCATCACAGAACGACAACATAATTTTAACTGTATGGTCGAGATAAGTGATCTGGTTGTGAATGAATCTCCCTTGTGACGCAAGTAATAAACCACGCGGCGTCAGCTCTTGTGACCTCGTAACTTTTCGTAAACGTAAATAGTCTCCTCCAACTATCTTTGACCGGTTAACCGACAATGGTCTGAGCAGTTGACATTTGTCATTTTCCGTTTGTATACGTTTGGTTTCTTCTTAAAAACTTTTCAACGTTTGAATACGTTTATTTCTATATATGACAGGTTAATGTCCCAATCTGAAAATAAATTGGTCTTGCAGTTACACCGGACTTGGTCAAATAGACCATTTCTGCTTTTACCATATGATTTCTATTTTTAACAAAGATATTTATTCGTTGTCAACCAAAAACTTCCAAATGTACTGTGTGCCTGATTTCAGTGGGGGTGGTTTCACACTTGGGTAGTTCGGGTGTGTACCTTTGTTCAATGGTGCTAGATTCAAACAGACCATACCAATTCATTCAGTTTAGTTTAATAGACTGGTCTATCTTTTAATTTGATTTACATTTTTTTTTCAGTTTATACCAAACCATGTAATTGTGATGGCAAAAAACAGCTTAAATTGCAAATTTGCAACACCAAAAGAACCTAACAAGTATTGTGTGCATCATATTTATAATTGTGGAAAGGAGTGTCTACTATCATGAACCAACATTTTCCCAACCAACATTTTCGATTTTAAATATTGATAGTAGGCACCATATTTCCTAAACTTGAATAAGGAAATGTAGATCGAGTTTAATGAATGTACAATAGTATCAAACTATGGGGCCTTTTTAGTTAGTAATTGCTACTAGACAGTTTTGTTTTACCTGGTATATCCTCTTCATTGTCGTTTGATCTAATAGAAGTAAATGACACAGAAAAAAAATATTCTTTCACAAAGCAAAGGGTCCTAAAAATCCATAAATGCATGGAGATTCAGACAGAGAAAAAGAAATAAGTTTTTCCAATAGGGTCTTAGAAATCCATAAAGAAATAACCAAAGAGAGGTTTCCAAATCAAAGAAAGAACAAAACCGATAAGTTTGGTTCCGACTCTACTAGAAGAAGGAAAATATAAGCATAGTTACTGAGGGTCTAAAGATACCGGGCAGCTAGCGAACAAAAGAAACTGATGTTGATATGTCCAGAAAACGCCTCAAAGTATCTCTTTGATCGGAATGCGATTAACTTAAGTTTAAATCGGAGCTGTGTGGCCTCACTGGCGTCTTTGACGGGCTTACCCTTCACACATATAGGAAAAAAAAACATATATTAATCTCACAGTCACATTGATGAGTTTTATTTACCTTAAAGAACACCTAAATTTCTACAACTTCTACCTATACAGTTAAAATAGCTCAAAACTGAAAAACACAAACGGTTAATCAGATTTCTAACGAACCATGCATCTCTTTGCAAATAACCAATGCCTTCCCTTAAAAAGGTAAAAAGGTACACACAATAAACAAAACCATGCATATTCTCGAATTGAATCAAAGCAATAGGTACTAAAGGAACCAAGCTCAACTTTTTTCCTCATGTATGAATCTTTTTATTTTCACATAATGTCAACTGACAATGGTAGCAGTTAACAAATCAGCACATAAAGGAAAAATGTTGTAAACGTACCTTACTGGGAGCCCGCCCAAGACAACACCACTGCAATTAAGAGCAAGAATTGCACTTTCCGCCTGAATTAAACACGCAAATGTAATCAATTTCCCACTTTATTGTTTGTACATAAAGTTGATTAGTGTCAATTACTTGTCTCATCAGGCCAAACATGTATTCAATATTTAGTGGACCATGCACATTAATTCAGTTTGTGTATCATATTTATGCCGATCAAATATATAGTCCGAGAATGAGTACCACTTCAACATAAGTAAAACGAATAAAGATAGAAACTTTTAAAAGAAGTATTCTAAACTTCAGTATCAAGTTCATGAAATTGTCAACATTTCTTTTGTTCTAACGAGTGAAATAAATGGATCAAACCTATATCTTGCGGGCACAAGAATATTGGAAAAAAGTACTCGAAACCTTTATCACATAATGTAACTTCTAAAGCGAGTCCTTGTTTCTTTCAATGCAAATTTGCAGTTCTACTATATAGGATTAAAACTATCCGATCACGATATAAATATTGTCATAACCAGGAACAAACACTATAATGAAAATTCATATACGGGAAATAGGCAAAGAGAATCACCAGCGTAAATTCAACAAAAGCAATGCGGGTTCGGTGGTGATCGTCTCCAAGTAGCCTCAGATGTTGAACCTGAAAGAAAACAAAGATAATGTCAAATGGAAAAACTTATCACAACATTTCAAAAAGTATAAACAATCAAGCACCTCCCCACAAACGGATTTAAAGAAATTTTCCAACTCCATCTGAGTGACCTGTAATTAAAAAGAAAAACGTAAAGAACAGTAAAAAAAAATTAAATATCTCCAATGTTTGAGTAGTCTGATGCAAACAAGAACCGAGCATAGCAGAAGTTACCTTCTTGTCAATGTTCGTACAGTAAACAGTCTTTACACACTTCTCGCGCTCATCCTCAGACTGCAAGAAAGAAAACAACATTATGCAAAAATTAGTTTGATTCAGAATTATCTAAAAGATTCCAAGTTGACATCAATATAAGAAACTAACCAAGACTTAATAAAAGATTTAGAGATGATAATCTCAACTTACCGTTGGAAGGAAATTCGGGTTAACAGGAGCAATAGCTGTTTTGGAAAGAAGAACCTTAATAGGATGAGAACCAAAAGCAGTACCCGATAACCTTAAAGCAGACATAGCTCCCTCTGAAACATCATTTTCACTGATTAATAAACACAACAAGAACATTTCCAACTCATAAGACAAGTTTGCTTAGAATGGTACCTTCATGAGTGAACTCAATAAAGGCGAAACGGAGAATAGATTTCTGGTCACCGCATATACGGCAATCAACAACCTTTAGACCCCAAAAAATGTCAAGAAAACGCATGAGAATTTAGTTTGAAGATATTAAAACAAACAAGTTAATTAAGGTCATTAAAATACCTGGCCACAAGAAAGAAAGAGACCAGCAAGCTGCTCCTCAGTTACCTACAAAAAGAATAAAGAAGGCTTTGACTATAAACATGTATTAGAATTTTTATGAGAAAGTGCTTAATGAGATAGTATTTCTCGTTTTATACTTGTTGATCGATGTCTGAGACGTATACAGTTCTCCTGATTGCATCTTCACTCTGAGTCGAGCTTGTTTTTTTGTTAATCCAGCGTTTCCCTTGGCGAAAGCTCCTTCTCTGTGTTGAAGGACAAGACTTAGAGAGCAAGCGGTAAAACGAATTACTACGATCACATTTTTAAACACGTTGTGTAAAAGCTAATCCTAACAGGCCACTCTAATATGACAAGAAGAAATTTGTACTTAGTTAATGCAAACTAATTTACCTCAAGAAACGGACAATTCAAATGAAAAATGCATTCATTTTCTTGAATTGTTGTTTAATGTATTACATATACTAACAGATCTCTTATCGACAAACAGTAAGTTTAAGAAAAAGCACAACAACAAAAACTTACAAAAACACTTTGTTCAACAGTTATAGATGATGGAACAGAACAGAATATAATTCCAAAGCTTAGAACTTTCCACCAATATTCTCTACGTTGATTCCAACACAATGCAGGCATTTTCAACCGATGATCCAATAAAATAAGCACAAAGATTTGAACTTTTATCCACCTCATTTTATCATCAATCTAGGAAAAGGTAAAACAAAAATATTATATTTCATACCTAAAACCGAAATGATAAAATTCCTCAACAGCCAGGCATATAAAAATGAAAAGTATGTATTTGCAAAAAGAGTCAAAAGCATCTTGGTCAAACGTTGAGCAGATATGTCATGAAACTTAACAAATCCAACACAAAACATCACATATGTAGAAAACATAATTCAAAGAATATGTATAGGATTATTTATACCCCATGAGCAGGATAAAGAGCTTGCACTGCGAAATTGTTAGTAAACCATAATCCAGAGGGATAAGCCAGTGAAGGAGGCACAAATTCCATAGCCATCGGATTTAACTTAGAAAACTTCTCATCCAAATGACTTATCTCAATCTTGAGATCCACTTCACTGGTTTGGGATGTCTTAACAGAGGAATTGGATTTGGAGTTATGATCATCAGGACATGGCGGCTTCGTTTGAGGTGGTGAAACAATGCTTTTGTGTAGATTCTCACCAGAAGAGTCCACTTTCACATCAGCATTTTCCACGACCGACATGATCAAACTAGAATATATATCTCCGGATTGTAAATAAATATGAGAAACAACTTGTGAGCTCGCCGATTTCTGCGTAGGAACAATCAGACTAAGAGAGACATTCTAAAAGAGAAAGAAAAAAAACAACATTCCAAAGAAAAGGAAGAGAATACAAACCAGTTCTTGCATCAAACAATGATCACAAAGTAAAAAATGTATCTAGTAAAAAGAACAAGATGAGATTTGTAGAAGATTTCTTCTAATCATCTCCTTAAATCTTCAATCAATGTTTATTGATTTGTACAAAAGTTATTGTATGCAATAATGGTTTATGTAGATTCTAGTCAAAAATATTTCAATTTTAGTCAAAACATTAAATTTTTATAAAGTGCTGCACTGAACAGAAAACCGGGAACTTTTTCTTTTCCATTTTCGGTATTAAACTTTAGGAAAGAAGTTTAAAATGATCGAACCGATTAGTCCACTCTAGACCGGCCCGGTCAAGTGTGAGATCAGATATCGGCGAATCCTCTAAAACGACAACGTTTAACATTTCGCCATCAAGGGCAGGCGACAAATCCCGTGCAAAAGCTCCGGTGGTCCTTCTCCCACCGCCGTATGTTCTTCCGGTGCTCTTCAACGCGCTCCGGAAGTCCGTCTACTCCAACTCCAATTTAAGATCTATTCTGATCCTTAACATCTAATTCTGGTATACCATCGTTCTCTCTGTCCAGCTTCTGCGTACTTGGATCGTATTGATTAGAGTCTTCCTCAATACTTGCATCGCTCTGTCCTTCATGGTTTTGGACTAATTTGAGCTCTATTTTTCAATCCCTTTCAACTATCTCATAGCTTTCGTGTTCCAATTTTTGAAATATTTTCCGAAAATTTTCTCAGTGCCATTTTGCTCAGCACCAGAATCTCCATGTTCCTATGTCACTGTATTTCCGGAAATCTCTCAATCTCATTTGTGTAGAATTGGCTAGCTCGATTCCCGAAGATAGATTCTGATTTTCTGAAGTACCGTCGCTTAGCTAAGAACACTCATCTTCTTCTTGTATCATGTATCAGCTACACTAGAGACAATGGGAATCATAGAAAACGGAAAGATATCGGGAAACTTGCCGAGCAAGGAGACATTCGTAGTGCACTACCCTGGATATCCATCATCTATTTCCCGAGCCCTGGAGACTCTTGGGGGAATCCAAGGGATCACAACCGTAAATTTCAGCCTTTGCCTAAGACTGTTTTTCACTTTGAAATGCTGATAATATCATCTTGAGGAGCTTATCTGTATAACCATTTTGAATCTCTTTGTAGGCAAGAGAATCAACGTCAAACAAGCTTGAGCTTCATTTCCGCCCTGAAGATCCTTATGCACATCCTGCATATGGGGAACAACGTCCTTGTAATGGCTTTCTGTTAAAGATCTCTAAGGAAGATGTTAAGAAAGATTCTCTTCTCCCTGAAAATCAACCTGTTCTTGCCGCTTGCAATACATCAGAATCTTGCCCAGCTCTGTGTGCTGATATTGTAGCTCGTGTGACTGATTCGTATTGCTTCGATGGTAACAGCCTAGCTCTCTAGTTTCTGCGGTCTTTTGCATCTAAAGTTTTCTTGCTGAGTTTCTTTTTACTCTTATTCATGTCGGTGTTGCAAAGGCATGGCCGATTACCAGCATGTTATTCCTATTCACGCGGATATTGCACAGCAGAAGAAGAGAAAATGGATGGAGATGGACTCGCTTACAGGTGATCCGTCTCTATTCATTTGGTGTTTTCATTGTATTGCTAATCTTAAAACTGTGATAACATAGTATTTAAAGTGATTCTTCTCTGATATCATGCAGGAAACAATGATCTAATGGACATGGCTGATGAAGATGTAATGATGCTATTGCCACAGTTCTTTGCACCCAAAGATATGCCAGACAACTTGGTGTAAGATTACGCTGTCTTAATTATTCCAACAATTTTATCATTGTTTACCTGGTAACAAAAATGTCCACGTGAAGTTATCTGTTTTCATCTGAATCTCAGTTAGGAGAACCTGATGTTTAGTCTGGAGTACTTTACTATTTAGGGTGACGAAAGATGAAGGATAACATAGTTAATTAAAGTGTTTTATGTTCTATGGTTAATTCCACTTGCGCTATTTGATCTGCAGGCTGAGACTTCCAGGAAAATCAGGCCTAAAAAAGAAAGATGAGGAAGCAATTCAGAATCTTTATGAGGTAAAAGAAGAAATGACTCAAAACATATAATCTACCGATTTGACAAGCCATATTGTCTTTCTGTAACTAATAGACTGGTAGAGAGTTCTTAGTTACTATAACGTCAAGGTTTGACACTTTCTGCTACTTCTCCCTTTGTTGATTGATTTTCTGATGATGCAGATAGATATTGGCCCAGTATTTGCTATTGATTTCAATGTCAAAGATATCCTTTTCTCTGTTTTACTAATTTTCCAAATCTTATTATTGCTGAGTATGAAGCCATGTTTGTTTGATGCTTTTCTTTTCATTTTTGATATCTTTGATCGGTCCTTAGCGTTCATACAGATCCCAAAGATATTAAACTGGGAAGACTTTATTGTTCCCAGCTCCAACCAATGGGAATGGCAGGTAGCAGTGTCTGCATTGTTTGAAGAGAGACCTGTGTGGACAAGAGATTCCATAGTCCAACGGCTACTTGATAAAGGTCTTAAATGCACACATCATATGCTAAACAGGTGAACAGATTTTATGCGTTTCTTATGTGGATTAGTTTTCTTAGTACTGCAATAACCAACTTTCTGGAGTTTTTCTTGGCAGGTTTCTTCTTAGGGCTGCGTATTATTTCTCGGGTGGTCCATTTCTTAGGTTCTGGATTAAAAGAGGCTATGATCCACGAAAAGATCCTGAGTCTCGTGTGTGAGTTCTCTCTCTCTTGTTAAGAGTTTGGAGTATGTGGTTGTTTTTTCACTAGCATGTTCTTGATAGAGGGGACAATGTCAATTTAACCTCGGAACTTCTACGTCTTCTCCAAAGTATTTTGGAGAATATACAAATTCTACTTGGCTTATCTGGGAGGGATTTGGATCAATCTTCTTCTGTAGTTCACATTTTGTGTGCATTATGTCTGCTGATGTATGTCAAATTTTTACCTCTGTTTCCTTTGTGTATGTTTTTTTTTCAGATACCAGAGAATGGAATTCAGGGTTCCACCTGAATTGAGGGGTTATTGTGATGCCAATGCAACTAACAAGTAATCTTTTCCTTATTTTGTTACATAATCTTTCCTCTACTCAAGATTCCCAACTTGCTTGTATCGATGGGAAAAGAAAACAGAACATATCATAACATTTCTTTGCAATTATTGAATCCATGGTGAACTGTAGGAAAAAAGCTCCGATTATAAGGTGATGTTTTATCTGTGGCAGGTCAAAGCCAAGCTGGGATGACATTTGTACGTTTAAAGTGTTTCCTTTCAAATGCCAAACATTTCTACAGCTATTCGAACTTGAAGACGAGTACATTCAACGAGAGATAAGAAAGCCTCCAAAGCAGACCACTTGTAATGTGAGTTTGTTCATGAAGTAAATTCCAAAAAATTTAAATCTCTCGCTTGTTGCTTTAACAATGAAGAACAGACAGGAAACGTTTGCTCCGTAATTAAAAAAATTGTCACAGATCAGACATTTATATCCACTTGTAAAAATGCAACTATCGAAACACGCCTCACGAATCACACACACAAAGTCGTGTATTACGTAATTACTGTAACTTTGACAAGCCTTGATGAACTGTGAAAATGTTCTGTATGGAGTCTCGGTTATCTGATTTGATATGTTTTGTTGTTGCCAGTATAAAACAGGATGGTTCTCAGAAGCGCTGCTTGATAATTTGAGACTCCGTGTAGCTGTGAGGTTCGTGTCTGCGTTTCCTGAGCCAGGTTTCGAAGATGTTTTCAAATCTATACAAGACGAGTTTGAGAGGTCAGAGAATACACGAATTCAGAAAGATGCACTGAACTCATGTCAACCAGATCACCAGGAAAAAACTAAAGGTAAGATCAAACAAACCCAATTCTTAAACAATATGGAAGTATAGTAACAGGTACTGATGTGAAACAATCCGCAGATGGGGAAGATATGAAGAAGTATAAAAACAGAAACAAAGAGAAAGAGGATGATGTTGATGTTGATGATGAAGATGAAGATGAAGATGATGAATACGAGGAACTGGATGAGGTAACCATACTTGCAAACTTTTTACCCATTTGTTTTCCCGTAAATCCATTTTATTGTTTCGTTGTTCCTCTAATTTGCTCTTTTTCAGGCTGGAAATGATGATGAGATATCGTTGAGTTCGCATGGATGTATCCTTGAATGCATAAAATTTCATAACACAAGCACCGATAGATTGATCATTCTTAGTATATGCAGATTCTAGAGTTTTTGGTTTTTCTTTAAACGATGATTAGATGATGACATGGAGAACAACTCGAGAACCTATCTCCAAGGTTTGTTCGATGGATTTCCAAGCAGAAAACCAGCTTTGGATAGTGGCAGCGATGGAGAGTATCAGATCTACGAGCAAGAATCCAATGCTCTGGATGATGATGATGATGATGTGGACGAGGACGACGACGATGAGGAGTAAAAAGACTGAATATAATGTGTGTTCTTTCGTTGTAATTACGAAACTGGTACTAAATGTGTGTGATGTCATCTGATGAGGGTAAGAAAGGTAAATTTGTAAAGTGTAAGATCTATTGTGCAATTAAAGAGTATCTAGTTGTGAAGGTTAGATATGCGAATATCGTCTTTTTGACTCTTCACAATCTCCCCCTCATATTTTATCTCTCTGGTCGTCGAAAATCTAAAGAAACCAATAAATTGTTATTATGCCCTCTCCTCTCTCCGAGTCCGAGTATGAGCCACGATTGAGAGTTTCGGGGGCATTTTCGTCATTGTCATGTTCGTTGGCCAAACTCCGCCGCATACTCCTCTCGTGAACCGCCGTAACAACCACCGGCCTCGTCACGCAACCGTTTCCTCCGCCCTTCCCGATCTGTTTCTCGCCGCGGTCTCTCTCCTCTTCCTCTGGTCTTCTCCTAAGCCCCTGCTCTCTCTCCCTCCCAACAGATTCTCCTTCCCTTTAATAAGTCCTCGTCGTCGAACCACCGCCATGTCCCCTAGATCTCCTCCCACGCCGAAGCCTCTCTCCCAACGCTTCGCTAATCCTCAATCGCTCTCCGATTGGCTCGAATCGCGATTGCCTTCTGACTCGTTCGCTGCCTGGGGAGTCAAACCGGGAACCAAAAACGTTCACAACCTCTGGCTTGAGCTCTCCGACGGCGAGACATCTCTCGCCGATTCCACCCCGCCGGTCCGCACCGTCAACGTCGTCACCGTCCGTGTTATCGGAAAAGACGGGAAAATCCTCGTGGAAGCTCACCAGGAATTATCCGACGGAAGCATCCGGGATAGATTTCGCCCTTTATCGGAGAAGATGAAGCCAGAAGAAACCCCCGATGAAGCAGTCTTTCGCGCCATAAAAGAAGAGCTCGGATCCATCTTCAACAGTGACAACGACGATATTGGGCAGAGGATTAAAGTTCTTCCCGGAACATACAGCAGAAGAGTAGAGGAAAGGAACTCGCTATCATACCCAGGATTACCGGCGCGTTACGCACTTCACTCGGTCGACGCGACGGTGCAGGGATTACCGGAGGAAGATTTCTGCACGGAAGAGAAAGAATACGGCGGAGACTCAACGGAAGATTCGGAGGAAACACGCGCCGCTGGTAAAGCGGTTACAGTGAAAAGGCATTACTGGAAATGGGTTAGTCCCAATTCGATTCGACTGTAAAAGACTCAAACTATGTGTATTTCTTTTTTTTTTCTTTTTTTTGGTTTTAACTGTATTTCTTTCTTCGGATATCAAACAATTTGTTTGCTCTGCTAATTTCTTCCGGCTTGACAAGATAGTCAGCCGCACCTTTCAACATGCACTTAGACACAGTATTCACCGAGTCCTGTGTCGACATCACTGCGAAATAAAGAAAGAAAAACACATAAAGAAAGATAATTTGGAGTAGATTGGGAGAATTTGCTGAATAACCATATTGAACAAGGAAATAAACAATATAGTCATATCAGACCTGAATTTAAGTGAGTAGCCAACTGGACTTTTTCTGGTCCAAAATACCCTTACTGAATAGACCGAAATTGGTCTATGGGCAACCAAGTGACGTCATGTGCAAATCCACAATCTTCTTCTCCGCCTCCACCTTTCTCCTCCGACAAATCTGTTGTCGGCTTAATCTCCATATCCGCCGCAATTAAAATTGAATGATATGAGTTTTGTTGGCCATCACGGTATACCTTCGACAAGATAGTCAAATAAATATTTATTCTTTCATCGATAGAACCTTCGGAGCTCACCACCAAGAGATAATAATCAACATTGGAGAAATATATGTTACTGGTTTTGATAAATGAGACTCAAATCGGTTTAAATCGAAAAAAATCCAAGATCTGGCTCTAAAATACACAATTGCTCCGGCATATAACTGTATGAGCGGATAATATATTCTTCTCCGACAACTGGTCCATTTTTACACGATTAAATGCGTCAGACTCATTTGCACACTCATTGAATGGAAAGTAACGGAGAAGAGAAGCGAACGGAGTTGAGATTCCGTGGCAGAGAGTTTGGACACCGTAAATAATAAACCCTAATAACTAAACAATAAACTCTAAATCCGAATCTGTAAACCCAAATCAATCAAAAGGGAGGAAGAGGGTTGGCGGCGATCGTGAGGGAGAAAGAAGAAAAAAAAAAATTGTTTCCTTTTTCATTAAGGATATTTTTGTCATATTATAATATATACACAAAATATCATAGTTCATCAAAAAATATGGCTATATCTTTAATTTAATGTTTTTTTATGGTTATTGAGTGATAAAATCCATAAATCAATGGTAGTAGTCGTATGGATTGTTGATAATTTAGAGAGTCTCCAAATTTGCGGCCTTGGTTTGTACTTTGTACACCATGGGCCATTGTTCTACTATCATTTAGGTCGTATCCGTAATTTCGTACAGTATAAATAAAAGCCTGAAACACACTTTTTGTTGAAATAAGATTTTATATTCCGTTTTGTCAACAGAAAGAAAATTATAAATAAATACACTATAATATCTAGAATGCATTTGAGTACTAAGAAACTCGGATTCATGATGTAAAGCAAACCGAAAATTTACAGAGTGTATGTATATTAAATCAGGCATCGTAATATAACGTGGTGGCTTTTAAACGTCACTCACTTATTCAGATTAAGAATAATTATTCCTAATGGAGATTTACAGAGAGTGATGAGTGTACTCTCCTTGTTTAAAACGACAACGGAATCATAATAAAAAGGATAAAACCAAAAACTAAACGATCAGGGAACTTCCTGTACGTCATTGAGTTCGATTTCTGCGGCGTTTCTTCCCGGTTCTTGTTCCCGCCACAGCTGAATGACTCGATCTAAAACTATGTAGCGAATGAAGAGAGAGAGAGATGAGGACAATGATGCAAACGGTAATGGCAATCGTCACATACTTCTCATTCTGGTTGGGGATCACCCGAGCATTTGTAAAGTGTTTTCCTTTTGATGCCTCAAGTAAGTCTTTTCTATTTTGTAAGAAGTCGTAGTTGTAGTGTCTTTGTCATCTATTTGTGTTCGTTTAATTTTGTTTGACTTTAAACTTTATTTGAATTTACTCACCTAAATTAAAATAAAATAAATTATTGTTATTTAGAAATAAACAATAAATTTATACATAAAAATAATAAAAAGAATAGAGTTGTTAAAAATTTTGTATTACAAAAATAAGTATAACATAAGCAAATTATAAGCAAAATATATGCAAAATATATGCAAAACATAAGTAAAACATAATAAATACGATAATAGTATTATGTATTGTAATATATATTAAGGGTGTGTTATTGAATCTTGTATTTAAAATAAATACCCTGAACAAATATAAACATCTGTAGTAAAGATTCTTCATTCCTCCCGGTCAGTTTCTTCTGTCTCCCATTGCTGCAGCATTCCATCCATCACAAAATAGCGGAAAAAGAGCGATATTAGGACAAAAACGGAGGCTATAACCATGATTAACGCCTTCTTTTGATTCTCTTGTTGACGAGACGGCAATAAAGATACGGTCTTGCCATATTACGCAGTTTCATCAACTGTTTCCAGATCCAGCTTCCCACATTTTTAAACTCATCAACCCAGAAAAGCTTTTCTCCAATTTTGGTTGAAGTAGCTTTTTATACTAAAATTTTATAAAACGTTGGCAAAACGCAAAAGCACTCTCCACACTCTAATTAATCTTGATGTAAATAGAAAGCAAAGCAAAGCAAGTATATAAGTAATTCCAAGAACTATACGACTAGAGTCACGTTCTAACATGTAAATGACACCAACACCCTCTAACCCTAATTTGCTATTCAACCTACTCACCATGGATGAGATACATAACTATACAAATTTGACCATTTTTTCCTTCTCCATATGGATAAAGTCTCTTGGTAAATGTTAATTGTGTCCACAATAACATGTCCATAGCACCATTCATCCAGTGTTAATGTAATATTTTGATTTACAAACAGTTTCCTAAAAACAAACCTTTCATATGTTCTTCATATAGCCATTTTTTCAATACCGATTCAAAGTCTAAACTGGTCACATTCTTCCTTGCCCTAGCTTCCAAACAAAAACAAATCATGGATACAATCAAGAAGAACAAATTGAAGACGCCATCTTCTTTCATCACCAAACACGTTTTACTAAATGCACATATACCTTGTGTTTGTAGTACCAAAAAGTAACAAGGAACAAAACAGGTAAAAGGAAACAACAAAGCTTAATCGTGGACACAATCTCCTCTTGTGTTATTTACTCCAACTAATAATTGAAAAAGCATATCCATACAAGGACAACCCATCCACCATTCACTATCCATGTGTTCAAAATATCATCTGTTTCTCAAGATGACTGATTTCAATCTTGTACGATTTTCCTCACCTTACAAGCATCTTCACCATTATTTCCTTCCGTCCTTGATTTCAGCGTCACTCACTTCCCTATCCATTCATCGAACTAACTTTCACACTCTCACCTGATTACTTCTAGATTTTCTCTTTCCTATGAAATTTGAGGGGTTTCTTATGCAAGCAGCCACACGATCATGTAACTATATTATTAAATTAACGGTTCAGATTAAATACAAACTAAGTAATTATTTTCCTTCTAACTAAAATGAAGCCTTCCATGTCGTTAACTTTACCACTATCCAAGGTCAACTCAGATTTTAAAAAATTCAACAATTTTCAAAGTGCCTCAAACTCAGAAAAGTGACTATATGATTTCAAACAAAACCCAATCACAAACTATAACATATACTCTAGCAAGCAAGTATCTCCACGTAGACTGCAATTTTTTTTTCGTTGGATCAAACATGTGACTATAGTTTCGTAGCTTCGAATATAAATTAGAATTTACGCAATATGCCTTTTTCTTTTGGTTTCTGGTCAAAATACTATCACTTCCTCCCCCACTAATTTCCATTTACGCTATAAAGTTTCAATATATACGATTGAGCTTTAATGATCTTTCCATAATTGTTGTTTTACAATATAAGCCCCTTATTTTTGGTATGTAGCCTTCATTCTTGGATATACAAAATTAATAAAATGTCAATAACAATTAAAACGATGTCCATTGTTATGAATCTTTTAACCTTTTTATTCTCAGCAGCCATAGTTTGTTCCGATCAAAGTAAAGTGCAGACAAGATCCTTCAAGGTCAGTTTCAAAACAAAGCTCGAAACACATGTCTCCTTTCTCTGTTATAAACTATCTTTTCCTTAACCGAATATGTCTTACATTGAATTCACATTGTCTACGTACTATTGTTAATAACTTAATATATATTTTTTTTTTTCTGGCAGATAAGTGGAAATGTAACATACGACTGCATAGATATTTATAAGCAACCAGGACTTGATCATCCTTTGCTAAAAACCCACCAAATCCAGGTGCATGATTTTAAAAATTTGTCTTACAGTTTTACTTTTATAAAATATTGTTTTGAATCAAATAAATTTTGACTATACTTTATTCTTTTTAAAAAGATGAAACCAACAGTTTCAAAAACTGAATTCAAGAATCACACTGGCAACAATAATCCAAAAATAGGTTGCCCAAATGGAACCGTTCCTATATTGAGAAATACACAAGAATTTATCACAAACTCACAACTTTTCGCTGAAAAATATTTTCATTCACTGTCAGCCGATAGTCCTGGAACCCATGTAAACACTAATCTCAAATCTCCACATTTTTATATTATTTCTCATAATTTGATATTTTAGATTATTATAAGTATGAAGTCATTAATATTACCAGTTCTCAATAGATTGCTGGAGTAAAGTCACATAATGGTCCATTTTATGGTGTAGAATCTCGGTTTAATGCATATATGCTAAACATTCAAAAAGATCAAGCCTTATATAATCAAATATATATAGGCAATGGACTGAATAAGCAGACTAATTTTATCTCAGCAGGTGTAATGGTAAGTATTACATTTGTAAAAAGTAAATCACTTAGTCTATTTATACATTTAGTCATATGGATAGTATATTCTTAAAATAGTGCAAGTTTTTTTTTACAGATAAATTCAAGTTTGTTTGGCGATGGGCGTGTTTGGACTTATGGATTTTGGAAGGTATATGTGACTTGTGCTTCTTCATGCAAACAATTTTACTTATGGTGGTTATCTCTTGTAATTATTTATGGTGAAGTTTCTTGATCAATAAATATGAAATATGATTTGATAGGGTAAAAATGGAAAAGGATGTTATAACATGGCATGCTTAGGGTTTGTTCAAGTGTCGCATGATGTTCCTATAGTTTATCCCAATGATGAACTTAAGTTAGTAGGAGACTCCGGTTCGATACGTTTGTCCATCCACAAGGTATATTCTTAATTTATATATATTGCTCATGACTTTTTTCTTTTGATCCTTAATACCAAATGATTTAAATGATTCAAAATTTTCATATTAATCATATATACATATATATCTTTCATACTAATAAATTATTTTTATGTTTTTTAATTTATATAAAAGGATAAAAGGTCAGGAAATTGGTGGCTTGAACAACATAAAATGAATGGATCTATAGTGTATGTCGGTTATTGGCCAAAAGAGTTATTTAACCTTTTAGATAATGGTGCAAGTATGGCTGGAGTTGGAGGTGTTGTTCAGGCTTCGCATTCTGGTTCAAGCCCTCCAATGGGTATTTCGGATGTCACAGATTCCGGAGCTTTTGCAAATATTGATGTCTTAGATCCCAATTATAAGCTGCGTAGCATTGATAATTTTCATGTAGAGATATTGCTAGATAGTACCAAATGTTATGGATTAAGAATTGGTGAAGTACCTATCTTTACGACTGCTAATCTCGGTTACTATTTTACTTATGGTGGTCCTGGGGAAATTCTTGTGGAATCTGATATTTGCATGTATAATCTTTAAACTTTGTATTTCCTAAAATAAATTTATATTAACAAGTGCAAACGTATTTAGTTATTTTATTTATTCTCAAAGTTAACGTGTAAATGGTTATAGTCCTAATTTTCTATTTGACTGCTAGTAATCTTTGTGAAAAAGTTAGAAGAAATAGTGTTGAATAATTACCATAAATACAAAATTACTGAGTAAAATTTTTATGTGTACCCAACACATATTTTGTTAAAAGAATTGTCCCCAACGTAAAAAAATAAAATAATAATAGTGATATATTTTCTTAGAACTAATTAATATCATGATATATAACATTCTTTAACCTTGTATGAAATAAATTGCATTTTCCATCTAATTCCAAGTTTTGAGAGTACATTCGTATCAAGAAAGAGTAAACAAAGCGTAAGAGATTGCTACTTAGCCTAAAATTAAACATACTTTATTTTCAGTTTAAAATATGGTTTAGATGGACAATTGACGCTCCTAAAGCCTTTGCTTGTGATCTCACGACACTCACATTATTATCATGCTGATCTTTTTGTGGCAAAGGAAATTTGATACTCTACATTTGACACTCGACATCACAATGACCATCAGTTTACATGAGTAAACAGAGCCATGTAGAGATAAATACTTATTACATATTTACATAGCATATTAATTGTCAGTTTTAATCTTCTTCTCATGTATGATTGGCTACTATTCGTAGTTGTTTTCAGAAGTTTTCATCTCACTGTATCTCATCTTTCTTCTTTCAAATTTCATTATTTTGTGCTGAGACTTCTTTAATAGAGTTTGTTCAATCTCATAAACTCTTCTTGCAAGTTACAGAAAAACAATCCATCAAATGTAATTACAGATCTAGAGTAGGTACTAAGTACTAACTAAAACTCAACAACACGCTTGAAAGTTGTATGTACACACAAAAAGTGTCACAAACTACGTGCGTAAAGTTAGCACAAGAAGAGCTCCTGCATGGGAGAAAACAAAATCCTTTCTAGATGATACAAAATTGAATTTGTTGGATCACTGTGGAGTTTGTGTTGAAGTCTCAGTGGACTGGACTTGACGAACGAATTGTCCTTTAATCCTCGGCCGTTGCTCTGCTAATTTCTTCCGGCTCTCATAACGGACCTGTTTAGTCAATTCACAAAGCCGTTAGTACACAATCTTCTTAACAAGCCGTTTCTGGGATCATGAAAACATCAAAGTTTATACCTTTTTATCAAAACAGCGGTCCTTGCGCTTCATCCGGAATTTGGTCAGTGCAGCTTCCCGTTGAAGAGATTGCTGAATCTTCCCAACAGACGACGAGTACCCATCTTCGTTCTTCTTCTCTGCATCACTGTGATTGCCTACTCCACTATGTTGGGTTGCAGAAGAGACGTGTCTTCTCTCCTCTACATCCATGGAACCATCCCGCTCTTGCAAACCCTCGGGCTTACCGTTGAACGGGTGAAACATGGAGCTGTACTCATGCGGGCTAACAGAAGTCGGGCTTGGAGAGTGTGAAGCAGGAGCCATGGCTGATGCATAAGCTGTTGTGTTAGGACCAGTGAACTGTATGCTCTTGATAGGAACTGGTGTTGGGTAAGAGCTCTGTCCCGTCCAAGAAATCATCTGATTGCTAAACGGTGGACCTTGTGACTCAGCTCCAGTGTAAAAGCAAGCCTCGTTTCTTCTCGGAGCATTTGGAATCGGTTCGGATGTATTGTATTGGTTGATTAGGACAATGTTATCATCTTGATTTGCTGTAACATTCTTTCTTTGGTCGGAAACCAAGGGAGAGACAGAACATTGTGTCTGCAACGGCCTGTGAACGTACCTGGCAGCAACAAGAACATAGCACACACAGTCAGCAGAAAGAAACAACAACTCTTGAAAAGATTGATGGGAAGAAGGAATCAGAAACTAACCTTGTGAAAGCAGAGGCACTAGAAGGGTTAAGAGCAGGCCGGTCTCCAGAAGATTGGTCCTCGGAAGTGTTGTTGTTAGGTCTTCTCAGAGAGAGATCAAGCTCTATCCGAGATTCGTAGTTGGCAACACTTTCTTCTCTGTTTCGTTGTCCGTTTCTTCTTAACGACGACGCTCCCATGAAGTCAATGGCTTCTTTCGATGAGCTCACATTGTACAGAGGCTCTGCGCTCTCCTTCTGTAACGTGTCTTCCACGTCTGCGCTCTCGCCTTCCATCTCTGGTCTTGTACATGAGCTCTACAGAAAACAAAATTCAACTAAAAATTTAGAATCAAACACACAAGAACAGAATCAAGAAGTGTAAACAAGATAGTCCAAAATGAGAACTAACCTGAGTATCACCACCATTCCCAATTACAGGATGTTCGTTTCTCTCAAGCGAGTTGTTTGCAGACGCACCTTCAGGTTTCTGCTGTCCAACACTCTCATCCAGAGGAAAGCTACTACCAGGAGCAAGTAACTGCCAAGATGATCAAGAAAACAAAAAACAAAGAAATCTGAGAACTCAATTATCTTTTAATAGACAACGAAATTTCCCAGAACTTATATAAGGATGGTTTGTCTAGTTGTAGATTTGTTCAGGACACAAAAGGTAAAGAGAATCGTCTAAGGACTTACAGTTTGTCTTCTCCAGACATGTTGCCAGAGATTTCTCAGCTCATTTCTCCTCAACGGCTTCACAAGATAGTCAGCGGCACCTTTCAACATGCACTTATACACAGTGTTCACCGAGTCCTGTTTTGACATCACTGAGAAAGAAAAAAAAAAAACAAATGAGTTAGAAAAAATCATTTCAAAGTGATGAGAACAAAAAAAAGAAGCAGGAGTTGTGGTGAATGTGACATACTTATGACAGGAATGTTCTTGCAGGTATCATGCTCCATGATAAGTGTCAAAAGAGGGTAACCAGATATTGAAGGCAAATCAACCTCTGTTAATATCAGATCAACGCTTTCGGGGTTGCCTTTTAGCATCTCCCATGCCTTCAAGCCATCAGGTACAGCAGCAACTGAGAGAGGCAAACACAAAAAAACGAACCACGTTAAACCTTTGAGCTCGTTGTGGAGATTATAAATTAAGAATCAAAGCAGTAGAGGTAAATGCTTCATTTTCCATAGCAAGAATTCAAAGCTCTGTTTTCAAGATAAAAAGAAAAGGTCTTTTCACATGCCAAAGAGAAGCTGGAATTTCAAACGGCTTCATTATGTGCTTAAGATAACAATCTTTGTTATTTTCAACCCAAAAAACATCAGATGCAAAAGAAAACCATAATCGTTGACTTTACTGATTTGACTTGAATCATACTTTGTTCTAAAAATTCCCAGTTTTTAGTTTTTACTATTTAATCAAACGTTATTTGATTGATTTTACCGGATTAATTACAAATCGTCGACCAATTAAAATCAATGGGCCAAATCTATAATTTTAAAACATGTTTGATAAAATATTTAATAAATTGGAAATATATGATTTTTCTACTAATGTGTCATCTTATATATAAAATATTTAATAATATATATAAAATATAGCAAAAATTCATTTCCGAATAAGCGATTTTTGAAAAGTCGTTAATCGCTAACCGACGACTGATTATTATTAACGAATCCTTGAATACGGATTATACCATACATAAAGGCACAAATTAGCTGCAGTCATTAAAAATTACGCTAAATTCAGATCCATTAACAGCTAAATCGAATTCTCGTGGTTTTACATCCAGATTCTCCGATTCCACAAAGATTTTCCCAAAAACAATCAAAAGATCATAAGGAAACCAGATCGAGAAATCTAAAATACAAAATCCCGAAGAAAATCACGATGGTCGAGCGAAATCTCATCGGAACTGACCTCTGTAACTGCATTTCCTGAGGAGAGCAGAGATAATCTGTCTAGTAGAGTCGTCTGCTTCGACGAGCAAAACTCTCAACGCGATTTTCGGGAGAAACCTCTCCCACTTCACCAATCCGTTGCCGCCGCCCTCTGCGGCGTCTTTCCTCCTCATCCTCCGCCGGGATAGCTTTCCTCCGCTAGCCTCGGCTACTTGCTCCACCGTCAGTTCAACAACTTCCTCGCTCATTTCTCGCATCTCTCAGGAATCGCTTAAAAACCAAATTCGATTGAAGCTCCAGAAAGAGAAAAGGGGAGAGAAGAAACAAACAGTTACAAAACAAATCAAAGAAAAATTTGTGAGTGGGAAACTGGAAAGATAAAGAGGAAAAAATCTTATTCTATAACAGAGAAAAAGAAGAACGAAAATATCTTGATATCTGGCGAATGTTCCAACGGTTGAGATTTAAATGGCGCGACCCACCGACCATAATCTAACGGTCACGAAACTAATAAAAGTGATTCGAAAATATCTAGTAGTGTTGCTGACGTGGATATATATTTAAACTCAGCAGATACTGTCCGAAAGAGATCATCCAATACGCCAAATAACCTTTTTTTTTAATTGGTGTGGTGGCTGTGCGTTGATTGTCTTCTGTGGTTCATATTTAAAGTTGGATATTAATTTTTCTGCTTATACCAAAATATTTATTGCATTTCGATTCGTTTCTATTTTGTAATTTTATGCTTATTTTGTCAGCCATGATAGATCATTAAACATTGAATCTATTAGTTATGCTTGTATAGTTATTTAACAAAAGAATAATGATATGTATAAATAAAGGTCAATTCTTTTCATATTTTTGATATGTTAGTACGATAAAGCATATTATATACTATTTAATTGTTATTTTAACAAAATAAAAACTCAAAAGTTTAATAAAATTTTAGTACAATTTTTTGTTTTCTTTTGTACTTATTGTAACTTACAAAAAAAATTACAAAATATAATTTATTTTTTTCAACAAAAAAATTACAAAATAAAAAATAAAGTTTATAATGGTGAAAAATATGCTATAGAGTGTTAGACAATGCATCTATTAAAACTTTAGATTCATACTATATTATTTGTATCACTCTAATACTCTATAATCTATATATAATGATTGATATATGGTGATTATATAGTAATATTCTATTATTTTTAATAAAAACATTTATGCAAAACAAAACAGCTAAGTTTTTAACTGTACTTTTAGCTTAGTTTAGTTGATTATGATTACCAAACAGCTAGTAGTCTTTAACTGTATTCTGTTTTTTTTTTCAATGTAAGTTGTATTCAACATTCGCCATTTTAATGAACAAATAGGTCTATAAAAAATCCCAACTCGTGACTTTTGGAGATAAAATCAACCGACAAAATATCTAATGCAAGTGGGGAAAAAGTATTATCGGAAAAATAATAATTGTATTGTTTGTTTGGTTTGGTACATGCTCTCTAATATATAATTTTACAAAAGAAACCAAGGATACATGAGGTTTAACATTTTATTTTCTGAGATAATAATGATACAGTTTTGTTTTAGAATAATAATATGCTTCAGTTCCTTTTTTTTTATAAATTAATTTTCGGTTTTATCTTTCATCTTAACTCTTAAGTTGGTACTTCAGAAACACAATCAATAAACTTTTTACACCATAAACTTTTACGAACCAAACAAAAAATGATGATCCATGCATAATTTAAACTGTCATATAGTAAATAATTGTTAGTCACGAAACAATAATATTTAAATTCGATGTCATTAGAAGAAAAAAAATCGTACAAATGATTACTTGTTCATGGTTTGCCGAATTTTATCAGCATTTTGTTTTTTTTGTTGTTGCTGTATCTGATTATGAGGTAAATTACGGAAAATGTACACGTGTCAAGGTAGGGACCATGAGACGAGTTTTTTAGTTATTCTCGCGGCTAGATATTTTGAGGGATAAGGTCAAGAGAGAGAGAGAAAAGGAGACACTTGTTTAAACCTCGTGGTCTTGGTGGATAGGAATATGACACGTGTATGGTGATAATCTGACACAGCTTTTCACATCTGATTGGTAACTGTCAGAGCCAAAATATCTATTTTTATGTCTCCTCACGCGCCACGCGTTTGATCGATAGATCCTACTCGCTCTCTCATTCCACTCAGTTTCCCGTATATCACGTAGTATTCATTTTTTAGTTTTGACTTTTCTTTGTTATTGACCCGACCAATGCTTTTCTCTTCTCCTAATCAAACTTAGTAATATAATATGTTTCGTAAAAATACTTTCGATTTTCGAAACTTCCGATACTAAAGAATCAACAATTACTAGGAGATGACAAAATATAGTGTTTAAAGAAAAACCATTGATTTATATGAGACGTGATATCAGCCTATATCACACAGTTTTTTTCTTTTGAGATCAACGGCGTAAAATTATCACTTATAAAAGTGTCAATCTCGGTTGGATGATACCACACTCGCTTGTGGAATTGTGGTGGAACGAGATGGCTTTTGGTTCGAACGAATAAAATCTAAAGATATTTTGGCCTAACTTACATGAACATGACCCTTCCTTTTTCAAACAGATATTTGTTGTCTGTGTGATAGTTTCAACCTCTCTTTTTTGTGTGGCCACACTTTTTGAGATATATTTTTTTTTCTCTCTTTACAGTCTGTAATCTGTATGATATTTTTTCTAATTTTCGGCTACTTGAGATATTTCCAAGTTGCATCATATGTCTATTGGCTTTGTCCATTTATAAAAAGAAAAGAAAGAAGTTGACTAGTAGATATCAATGACATATCTAACCAAGCGATAAATGAAGTGATAGAGATGTTATGGTGGTGGATATAAACAAACTAGGTGGCCTATGTAAGAACAATGCTAGACTGGTGTTTTTTAGGTTTTAAAATTAAAAGTCAATAATCATTATAAGTTTATAAGTTTTCAACAGGTGATTAAATAGAAACGGACAATGACCCTATGATATCATTTGCAACGAAGGATTTATTTTAAGGTTAGAAATGTGGATTGATTATTAGAACAAGTTAAAGAAAGAAATATGTCCAAAAGTTCAGATGGCCCATTTGAGAGTAGTGTAGTTGAATGATGTAACATTTGGCAATACGTGACATGCAGTGATTGGAAACCGAGCACGTTAGATATGTGGATGAAAATTAAATTTCAGTTCAGGTTCATTTAAAAGTGACACTTTGAGCGATATTCAGATCGTGTGGCACTTTCGTTAAACTCGACTTAATTAGCTCAGATTTGGGGTAGTTGCCTGATGTTGTTGCATATCCGGTAAATTGGTTAGTTTGTATTTGCGGTTATGGGTTTTGTTTGCAACTCCATGGAGTTTGAGCTACATATACACGCATATATATATACAGGAAAATACAGATCCTACATATATGTATGTATAAGTAATAACAACTATCCACGAGCTAGAGTAGATTGTTATAGGTTTCTTTGTGATTTGACTCTCTCTAATAGATTCCGAAGTTGATTTAGGCAACACGTAGACCAGCTAGAGTCAAACTCACTAGTTTCGCGTTGTCTTAATTTCGGACGGAGAACAAATGCTATTGCACTTGCATTATGCATTTGCTCTGCTTATCACGACATTAGAGTTTATAACAACATTTTGGTTATTGTAACTTCTGAAAAAACTAGATCGCAATCTGATCAATTAGACTGTTAAGCTCTTTCACCTATTTGTACCATCACTTAGCAATGTATCATAGATGCCATTTCATCATCTAGTATCATTTCTTCCCCTCCATAATTCGATATATAAATTTTTTCTTACTTAACAAACATCAAATATCTCCCGTTACTCTAATCTCAATTCCATAAATATGGTGTTTGAATAATGATAACGTGACTTACTCGCACATATATGCTCTAATCTAACAATGTTTAGAAAAAGGGTTAGAAAAACTATACCGATGTCTATTTTCACATAGTACTAGAGTTCTAATTAGTGTTTACATGCACCAGTCATCTGCATAATAATTTTCTACAAAAAATGTCATCTATTTCTCATTACTTATATGATTCATATATCTTTTATGTGGATCCTTGATGGCTAATGGAAATCTTCAGCATCAACACCTTGGCAAGATGATCCAATGTAGCTTTCCATGTGGACATACATGATACATCTATGTTTTATTGTGAATCACAAGATTCAGAGAAAAAAAAAAAACAACTGGAACGAATAATATAAAAACTATAAAAAAATATTTTAGTAAGTATTCATTTTAAAAAGACTAAACAGTTGCCCAACTAAATGCCGAAATTAAGGGTTTGTGATCACAATCTGAAAATAAGAGGAACTAATTTGTATGGATGAAAAGAAAAGGGGCTTATTCAATAAATATAATCCTGTCCGTTTGCACAAATCAGCGTCCTTATCCATTTTTTTACCTTATCCAAATATTTCCTTATTCCTACAAAAAAAAAAGTTCCCCACTTCCACTGTCTTCACTCTTCACTTCACAAACAAAAGAATCTGTAAACATCATCTCTCAAATCAAATGGCGACTCTCTTAGGGTTTTCTCAGACGAAGTTTCATCACTGCGGGGTCTCGATCTCTTCTCCGCCGTGCTCATCTTCTTCCACGGTTGTCTCAATGGTGGGTTCGAGCCGGACTGATTCAAAGACTCTCCGGTCAGGTTTCCTCGGCCGTATTGCTTATGATGATCGGAAACTAGTAGGATCCGAATCCGGTAAATTGGGTAGGAGAAGCTCCTTAGCAGTCAAAATGTCGTGGGACGGTCCTCTCGCTTCCGTCAAGTTAATCATTCAAGGGAAAAACCTCGAGGTTTGGATTTTGCTACTCTCTCGAAATTTGAAGTCTTGTCTAAAACAGGAAAAATTGAATTTTTATGTGGATTTTGTTCTGGGTTTCGATTATTGAGAATTGGTCATTAGAAAAGGTTCGAACCTTCAGGAAATGTTTGGTGTTAGGCTGTGACAGATTCAAAGAGAAAAATCGAGTTTTGTTGAATTTTTGGTTTTGTCGAAAGCGTGTTCACTGATTCTGTTTACTCTCTGGAAGATTTGAGACAGTAATCTCATAACTCTTTGTCAGTAGAATTTTTGTATTTTACATTTTGCTTTTCGACAGTTTTGAAGTTATGTCTCTTCAGTCAATTGGTTAACTGTGAGCTTGTTGTGACAGTTATCAGACCCAATAAAGCAGCATGTTGAGGAGAAAGTAGGGAAATCAGTTCAGAAACACAGTCATCTCGTGAGAGAAGTTGATGTAAGACTCTCTGTTCGAGGCGGAGAGTTTGGTAAAGGCCCTAGGATCCGTAGATGCGAGGTAATGAAGCAACTATGCATTATACGTTTGTACAAATCCATAAAAATGTTATCTCAGAGGAGCTAATATAAAAATGCTATGGAGTTTTAGGTAACATTGTTTACAAAGAAGCATGGTGTTGTGCGCGCTGAGGAAGATGCTGAGACGGTATACGGTTGTATAGACTTGGTATCAACGATAATACAGAGGAAGCTGAGGAAGATCAAGGAGAAGGACTCTGACCACGGAAGGCACATGAAAGGCTTCAACAGATCGAAAGTCAGAGAGCCAGTGATTGAGCCGGTTGTGGAGGACTCTGAGGAAGAAGATGAAGAAGAAGAAGAGGGTGATTTGATCAAGGAGGTTGGTCCATATATACTTACCTTATTATCATTGGTCTCTGATCTTCAACAACTGTTTCTTTGACGATGTTTTTTCTCTTTTTCGACAGGTTGTCCGTACCAAGTACTTTGAGATGCCACCATTGACCATCTCTGAGGCTGTAGAGCAGCTGGAATTAGTCTCTCACGATTTCTATGGCTTCCAAAACGAAGAAACCGGTACGCATGCGAACGTTTTCTCTTTTTTCTTCCATGTTTGCTCGATTGCTTAAACAGATGAAGATCATAAGAAGAAAAGACTAATTTGATACTGTTTTTTTGGTGGCAGGTGAGATAAACATATTGTACAAGAGAAAAGAAGGAGGGTACGGTCTGATCATCCCGAAGAAAGATGGCAAGGCTGAGAAGGTCGAGCCGATTCCAACCGAGCAATTGAATGAACACTCTTTCGCCGAGTAGAATGCATTTTCTTGAACCAAAAACCGACCAGCTCTTCTCTCCTTGCAGCTGCCTGTGTTCAGTATTCAAGAAACAGTGTACATAAAAAATAAGGCCAAACTCTTTTTATTTTTAGTGCAAAAATGGCCAAACTCTTTGTAGATGACTCTGTTCTACTTTTTGATGTAAAAGAAATTGAAACTGAAATGTGATATTGATTCTCTTTAAATGAGATGATAGCAATACATTTTCCTAGTCAAGAATGGAACACACAAATAATCATACAACAGTATCATCATATACATGAACACGAAACTTGGTTTGGTTGGGCGATTATATTAGGGTCCTCGAGCCTCTGGTTCGCTGTTCTTGTTGCTTGTGTTTAAACCAAAAGAGCCTTCTTTCCTTGGTTTAGAGCGTAATCTGGACAAGAGAAGAAAAAACACCGTTAATACGCATTAGGAACTATAGATTAAATGAATAATTTCTTGTATAATAGAAACGCAATTAATGAACTTGCCTTCTCAAGGGGATTCGGTTTGCATTGCTGCTTTCTGGTTCATCATGGACCTCTTCACTGTGAGACCGTGACTTCTGCCATGACCAAAGATTAGTCTTATCCATAGTTACTAATCAAGCTCAATTATGTGTCAAAGATAACGAATTTGCAATCTTCACCATCAAATTTAAGGACTTTAGGCAAAGAGGGATACTTACATCGTCAGGAACTGATGTTGAACGCTTCATCTTCTTCCTTCTCGGAGCGTCTTCATCGTCATCGTCATCGCATTTCCTCTTTTTGTTCTTCTTCTTCTTCTTCTTCTTATCCTTTATCGTCTTCTTTTTGGAAGAGGCAATGCGAGATTTACCCTTCTTGTCCCTCACTTTCCAAATGTTTCTCCTACGGAAAACCAGTTTCTCAGATTTCCAATTGTCGAAGCTCGTATCGATCACCGTCACTTCGCTCCTCGAGAACCCGACTAGATCCTTCTCTCCTTCCTCTTCTTCATCCTCCACGCCGTCGGCGGCTTCCGGTACTGTTCTTCTCCTTTCTCTTGTCTCCGGCGCCGGTTTCTCGTTGTACGAATTGCCCCAGGTGAATTCACGAGCACCGGAGAGACATTCCCGGTCGATTAACTGATTCCGCGGCAACGGAAACTCGGCAGGAGTCTCCTCGGAGCAGTGTCTAGGGTTTGATTGCTTCCTTGGGAGCTTCTTCCCGGCGGTCGTGGAGGAGCCGCCGAATAGCCTGGAGAGGACATCGCTCATCGCGCCGTACCATTCGCCGGAAGCTGGCTCCGAAGGACTCTCGGCGAATTCCGGATCCGAAGGAATCGGTGCAGGCGGAGGGGAATCGGAGGCGGAGCTAGTGGCGGGATCTCCGGCTGGGATTTCGGTTTGGTGATTGCGACGGAGGAAGTCGTCGAGGCTACGAGGATTACCGAAAGCATCTTCGTCTTCGGCGGTGGAAACTCCTCTGTTTACGCGGAGACGGTCAAGCCAAGTGGAGGCGACGGGCATGTCGTCGATAATGGAGCTGAGCATCGGAGACGACGAAGATACAAAATGTTGGCTCTGTATTTTTTTTTTTTGCTTCTGTTGTGTATTAAATACAGTTTGCTGTTTGAACTATAGGAAAACTACAATTGGAAATTAAATTCTCACACATTTCATCTTTTTTATTCTTATCTACATGATTGTATAACTTAAATTACTAATTTTGAAATACTAAAAAGCAGAAAAAATAAATGTGTTGGTTGATTAGATTTTACTAAATTTATAAAGATTTTGTGTATCTTAATAGACGGATATAATCTTACGATAAATTTTTTCTATGAATGATTCAAGATTTTATTATATAAAGTTGAATATATATAAAGCTGTCAAGTTCGATATATATAAACTTAGATATGTTAGACACGTTTGTAACACGTATGATAAAGCTGTATATATATGACAATTTTATCATATAAAGCTGGATATATATAAATTTAGATATGTTAGACATGTTTGAAACATGTATGATAAAGTTGTATATATATATGACAATCTTATCATATAATGCTGTATATATATAACTTAGATATATTAGACACGTTTTGTAACACGTATGATAAAGCTGTATATACATGACAATCTTATCATATAAAGCTGAATATCTATAAACTTAGATATGTTAGATATGTTTGTAATACTATCATAAAGATGTATATATATGATGATGATCTTATCACATATAAGCTGAATATGAACGACATGATTACCATTTTTTATAATTCACTAGATCTGTGTGTCAAAATAATAATATGTGCTAATACATAACATAGTAACATTAGAACTAAAAACTAATTAATTATTTATTCACATTTGTTGATTCAAAAAATGTTAATTATGAAAAAAATTTATGTCAACTAATTCTTTTTTATGAATCGTACCATATCAAATTAAAAAAACTCTTGCGTATAAGCCTAACCTAATCTAATTTTGAATGACATTTATAGTCATCAAAACAATAACACTCATTGGTTTCCTTTAACAAAATACTCATATTTAGAAGTGATCAAAATTGGAAGAGAAGAAACATCTCAGAAGACATATATATCTCATAGAACCAAAAGAAAACATCTTACAAGTTTTTTTTTTTGTAAAAGGATATAACATCTTACAAGTTAGAAGACAAATATTGCACTGAACAAAAAAAAAAGAGGAGGAAGAAGAAGAAGCCCTTCTAGTCAAACAATCCGAAAACCATGTCATCTTCACTCTCTTCCTTGACCTCCTCCTGAGAACACAAAACAAATTTATTTTGATTCCAAGCTTATATTATACAATATTATATAGTTAGATTTGTATTCCAGTAATTGTAAGTACGTGATGAGATTTTAAAGACAATAGATACCTTCTTCTTCTTTGTCTCCTCAGCTGCTGGCGATGCTTGAGAGGCTGCAGAAGCGGCGGCAGCAACCGGAGCAGCCGCACCACCACCACCGACTCCAACATTCATGATGAGATCGTCGATGTTCTTCTTCTGACATAACTTAGCAAAGAGGCCAGGCCAGTATGATTCAACATCCACGTTGGCTGCTTTCACCAGCGTTGATATCTTCTCAGCCTGATAAATCCACAATAAATACAGAAATTGATTGAGATGAAACTATTGATCATGCGATTCGCAACTACACAACACCACATGAAAGAGCAAGAACAGAGAGACGATCCAAGAGATTATGTATAAAAGAGAGAAGAAACTAACGGTGATGTCAATTCCATCATCGTGGAGGATGAGAGCGGCGTAAGTGCAGGCGAGCTCGCTTGTCCCCATTCTCTACCTTTCAACCTCTCTGCTTTGCCTTTTTTAAGTTTCTGTTAAGGACATCGCTATTTATACCTAGAGGTTAGTGCTTTGTGAAATTAAGAATCTGACACGTAACAGAATTTTGATCATGTAGATCACCACATTTGTAACATGTTTTTACATATTGACACATGTGAATTATTTACATTTTAAATTATCAATATTTTCCTTTTTTAGAAAAAAATATCATAAGCTCAATGTGCTATTTTACTCATTTAATAAATGAACATATAACTGAGAATCCATATTTTCCATGGTTAACAAAATTAGCAAAATAATGAAATCTTGTAGACAAAATTTACAAAGTTAACTTTGCTTGGTATTAACTGTTTTAAGAATGGTAAAAAAGTTAACTTTGCTTGGTATTAACTGTTTTAAGAATGGTAAATAGAGAAAACATACTTGTTTTGTCAAATCTTACGTGTACCAAGAGCAGTTTGGCGTGTTGACATTCACAAACATGTCCAATTCGACGTAATTAGAATAAAGACCTTAATTAAAATTAAGTGACTGTCTGACAGAGAAGCTATGTCGCCTGAACGTGACATATTGTATTTAACTTTCAGATGTTTTGTCAAAAGTGACTTAAGAAAAAGAAAAAAAATGAGACCATGGTGAATGATTTAACCAAAAACAAACTATCAGCCATTACAGCAAATGTGAGACCTATTGCTCAACAAGATATAATAATCAATGCTTCCTCAAGTGAGTTTTCAGGTCATGTTACCCTACGAGCTATTGATTTTCAAAGTTAAAAACTCAAACCTCAAACTCTAAGGAGCTGCATTTTGTTAGCGAAAGCGATGCCAATCCAATCAGGCTGTGCAGAAGACCACTGCAACTGGTTTATCTCCGAACCGGCTGAGTAAACCGACATCGGATCAATCCCGTTATATAGCAACTACCCAGACAGAGGTTAATATCTATGAAAATTTTAACTTTGTACCATGTATTTTATACCATCAAAAATTGGAAAAATAAAGAATATACTACATTGTTTTATACATCGTTAGCTAGTGAAGCATGATTGATACACTTATAATTGCTTTATTAATTCCTTTCTTTTCTTCTTTAAAAAAAAAAATATAATTTTCTTTTTGAGACACTCTGGTCGTAATTGCAAAGAATCACATTGTCATTGAGGCTCGCTTTATGTTTTCAGCAGAGGGAGCGAGAAACATGAGAAAGAAATGGACCTTCAACTTCAAGAGAGAGTGTTCTGGAGACTGACCAATGAGAAATAAGCACCCGTGGGACCCTTTGCCAACAAGGACGAGTGGGTCCCATGTTCGATTATTTTTCCTTCGTCCAAAACTGCGATCGCGTTGCAGTTCTGGATCGTGCTCAGCCTATGTGCGATCACAACGCTCGTCCTTCCCACCATCACGCGCTCGAGTGCGTCTTGAACCACGCGCTCCGACTGACTGTCTAAAGCGCTCGTAGCTTCGTCGAGGAGCAACACCGAAGGGTTCTTCAGCACCGCTCGAGCGATCGCGATTCTCTGTTTTTGTCCACCGGACAATTGCTCTCCTCTGTCCCCGCAATGTGTGTCATAGCCGTTGGATAGTGATGTGATGAAATCGTGAGCGTTCGCTGCCTTGCCGCCTCGATGATCTCTGACTCGTCGATCTTGTCAGATGCTCCTCCGTACATGATGTTCTCTCGGATAGTCCCGGAGAACAACGTTGGCTCTTGGCTAACCAAAGCAATGTGTTGACGAAGCGATCTCAGATGATACGATCTTATATCATGACCATCTATTTTTACAGTACCCTTTAAAGGATCATAGAACCGCTCGATCAAGCCAACTATTGTGGATTTACCTGACCCACTCGGACCCACAATTGCTGTTGACTTTCCCTCTTCTATCTCAATGGAGAAGTCTTTGAATATAAGCATGTTTGGTCTTGTTGGGTAAGCGAAGTCTACGTTGAGAAACTCGATTTGTCCACTTACTTTCTCTGCAAGAAATCCATTAGGGTTTTCTGGCTCAATGGTTGTGCATCGATCTAACACTGCAAAAACAGACCCAACTGCATCTGAGCCCTTGGCAAGATCCGTCGTCGTGGCCCCAGCATCTGCAATAACCCAACCAGCGCTCACAAAGACGCTAAACATCTCAAAGAATGCTTTTGACGTGATCTTCCCTTGAGAAATTAGTCTTCCACCGTACCAGTAGTTCAAGACCGAAGTGCACGTTATGAGACTTCGTGAAGTTCCCAGCACAATCCCGGCTAACCACGATTGGCGAACACTTTCTTTACGTGGACCTTCTTGAAACATTTTGAGTATTTTCAAGATCCGTTCTTGTGAGGAGAAAGCTGTAATGGTTCGGATGTTGGAGACAGCTTCTGCGGCTAGTTTGCTGCTCTCATCTTGGGCTTTAAGAGCTTTTTTTGACATGCTCTTGAGCAGAACACGTTGAGTGTAGAAACACATAATAATCACTGGTTGCACAGCGATCATCACTATGGCTAATCGCCATGCGATGACCAAACCAAGTGTGAAAGCTATGCTCACTGTTGATATGGTTTCTATCAGTAATGACATCCTTTCACCTACCAGAGATCTCACCTATTATCACAAAACACTAGATTATCAAGAACTGATGATGAATATAAAAAAATTGTTCACTGAAATTAATTTAGTAAAGTGATCAAGACATACGAAGTTAGCTTCTTTTGCAAGTCTAGAGCAAATTGCACCACTCGAGTTCTCATCTTCATCGAACCAACTGACTTCAAAGGTCAATATCTTCGAGAGCATCTTTTCACGGATACGTTTTGTTAGGTTTTCCCCCATGTAAGCAAAACTATAATGTTGAACAATACTGATCAAGAAACACATGATAGATAGACCAAGAAAAGACAACGCGTAGATCCTCGTTTTCTTCTTCATCTCGTCATGATCCGTTAGGAAATAAACTGACACCATTGATCCCGAAGCATATGCATAAATTGGTGTTACAGCCCCAAATAAAGCTGCACTTATGCAACCATACAATGCTTGTTTCCACTCTGTTCTGTTCAGCGCCATCATTCTCTTAAATGATGGCACAGGCGGCTTCTTAACCTTGCGTGTCAAACTTGAAAGATTTGTATCAACGCTTGAAGTCTTTAACAAGTTAGCTTGGTTTTGAATAGGGTGCTTCAAATCTTTGCTCAAAATCGGGATTTGACCCTCTGGCACATTTACGCTGTTGTCACCATATGATTCTTCATCCTCCATCTGTTGTAACCGGACTAGAGAAGTATATTGACCATCTAAGTTCTTCATGAGCTCTTCATGTGATCCAGTTTCTACAACACGGCCATTATCAACTACATAAATAACATCAGCATTACGAATGGTAGAGAGGCGATGGGCTATCACAATAGTTGTACGGCCAAGAGAGGCATTGTCTAAAGCTTCTTGGACTACTCTTTCGGATTCTGAGTCCAACGCGCTCGTTGCCTCATCTAGAAGAAGAATTTTCGGGGATTTGATTATCGCTCGTGCAATTGCGATCCTTTGCTTCTGACCTCCCGACATTTGCACTCCTCTCTCCCCAACCTTTTTATTTAAAAGAAAAAAAAAAACAAATAAATGTTGTAGCCTGACTAAAAATATGTTCTTAATATTGGAGTATATCTAACCTGAGTTTTGTAACCATGTGGGAACTGAGAAATGAAATCATGAGCATTTGAGGCCTTTGCAGCTTCAACAACTTCATCAATGGATGCGTCCTCTTTACCAAATAATATGTTTTCTTCTATTGATGTGGCGAAGAGCGCTGGTTCTTGGCTAACTAGACCCATTTGCGACCTCAGCCACTTAACTTGCAGCTCACGTATGGATACACCATCTAAAAGAATCTCTCCTGCGATTGGGTCATAGAACCTTTGCAAAAGCGATATCACAGTTGATTTTCCTGATCCGCTTGCACCCACCAGAGCCACAGTTTTACCAGAGGGGATTTTTAGACATAAATCGTCAAATATTGGAGTTTCAGGTCTAGATGGGTACATGAACTTCACGTGCATGAATTGGACTTCACCTTTAATTTCCTCTAGAGTCTGACCTTCTGTGTTGTCTGAATCAATATCGGGAATTCTTTTCATAACTTTGATAATCCTTTCCCCTACTACAATGGCCTCTGAGAAATATTTAAGATTTAATAAAGCTCCACCAAGTGCTCTGCAAAAATGTAGGATACCAAAGATCAAAACTGTAGTATGGTTTGATTTTGTGTTAAATCCTTCAACTGAAAAACTAAGGAGCCTTAAACTATAGTATGGTTTGTTTTTTGTTGAATCATATATACTTACTGGCCACCCAAGGTGATGCATATGATGACTAGAAAGATGGTACCGCCTTTGGCACCATGGTCCATAACCATTCGACTTCCGTACCAAGCCATAAACCCCCAAATGGCATAAGTGATTCCATTGCTCCCAAGTGCGATTCCTTTAGCTAGTCCTTGTCTCACTCCTAGCTTAACCGAGCTTTGAAGCGCAACTGAGAATTTCGATATCATCTTCCTCTCACTACCAAATGCATAAACGGTTCTCACCAGTGAGATAGCTTGCTCGGCAATAGAACCAGCCTCATTGTACTCTTCACGTATTTTCCTTGAGACGTTGATGAGGACTCGTCCGTACATCAGTCCAGGGATCAAAAGGAGGACGGTGAAAGGAAAGCCTACGATTGTGAGTCTCCACTGCATGATGAAACACACCATGTAGCTGGCGAAGAATGTCGACATTTTCATCAAAAAGTTCGGTAACTGGTCCAAATCAAAATCATCAAAACATGATTAAATAAGGTTTAAAGACGAGAAAACATGTTTAGAATGATAAATAAATAAGATGAGACCTTTTCACCGAGGACGTCTTGGATCACGAGGCTGTCACTAGAGACACTAGTGATAACATCAGAAGTGCTTGAGACATTAAGATCAAAGTAACCCACATCTTGTCTTAACACTGCTCCTAAATACCTTTGTCTCATTTTTGATGCTTGTCTCTCCCCTGTTCTTGTCCAGCAAAACGCTTCTGTTTTGTTTGTATTTGCAAAACCATCCACAAACTTAAGTAAAAACTATTACAATGAAATGCACCAAATTATATCTATTTAGTTTGATTTTTTTCTTCTTCACTGAAAGACTTACCAGTGAAACATATCACCCAAGATGCACAAGCGACATAAAGCAAAGCTCTCGCTTTCTGTTTATTAATTACCCAGCATGTACAAAAAAACGGAAGATAACATTATATTAGTACTTTTTTTAATTTCTTGGGAGAAAAGAAAGAAATATATATACTCTTACACGTCATAGATACTTCCTCTCATTTCATGTCAAGATTCACATGTGTATACTTCTCAAAAACCAATTAGTAATGACTGAAATCGATGATTACATCTCTTATATTTGGGTCCTTTATACTTCGATGTCCTAACATATCTCGAGTTGTTTACATCACGCCATGTTTGGTCTACTTAGGAATAATGAATGGAGACACACAAAAAAGAGAACATAGAGCAAAGAAGAGAGAAAAGACCTCCGATATGGATTGCATTAAGGTTTCATCACCAAATGAGGTACCACCGAGGTCGTTCAGTATTAATCCGATGATTAAAAATACAGTAGGAGTGATGCAGCCATCACCGATGGATCCGATTAACCCTAATCCCATCAACATCCAATCCACACCGTCCGCGTGCATGAATATCGATCTTCTACTTTCCCAACTCTTCATTTTCATCTTCTTCATCCGTGTTCCTTTTCCTTCTCTTATTAAATGTTTCAGAGAAAAAAGACTACAACAGCACCTTGACCTTAGGGAAACGACAGATCACAGTCTTCTCTCCCCCTTCTTTTTTTGTTATTCAAGACCAAAAGGTTCTCACTTCTTGCGGTAATATTAAAGAGGAATCATATATATCTTCTTCTTTTTTAATGTGTTTGATTTTCTCGGGCAATGTTATGTGTTCACGTACGTCCTTTTGATCGTTTTAAATAGCAACTACCGATCGTGACAGAGAGTGACCGTTGGCCGTTATAATATATAGTATGAATTTTTTTAACTTGATACCATCAAAGTCTCTATGTTAATTCGTTTCTACCCGTTACTTTTATTTTTTTACTTCGAATAATTTTGTTTTCGTTCAGTATCTATATACAGAATGCATTGAACCATTAAAATAAAATTCCTAACCGCATCACCATATTATTTCTACTAAAACATATCTCATGCTTTCGTGTCTCCTCCCACCTCGATCGTACTTCTGATTTCTGACCAAATTTTAATAACAAGAAACTCAATTGAATGGCAGAGGAATCGAATCTACGGTGTAATGTATTTTTGTGAATAAAATTATATTATTTTTATGGAAAACGTTACTCGAGTAGTACTATATATTTATTTTCTCGAATAGCCATCAATCTATATTATTAATGAAAGACCAATCGAATCATTTTTAAACAATAACATACTCTAACCAGTTATGTTATCAAAATTATCATTGACTTTAGCTGTCTTTACGGACATTGTAGGAAATAACTCTACCACTACAATTAAAATAATAGGCTGCATAGTGCATACAATTAGAGTACCGTGCCTAGAGTTTTAAGTCGTTTGAAAAAAAAATGCATCATAACTAAAATTTTAACTTTTGTTTTGTAAGCTATAATTAACAGTAATTTCTTAATATATGAAATAATTTTTTAATTCAAGAATAATAACAATAAAAATACATATCATATAAATATACAAAAAAAAGTTTGAATTTCTCTCCATACCCATATCCTTACCCAGCCTAGGCCACTGTTTATTACATTTTGATGCCATGAGGTGGTTGGTGCTGGTCGCATGTATTAGAAACATGAGAGTGAGTGAGAACTTCGGCAATGCATGCTGTCTTATGTTTCGACCAGTAACTTCTACTTCAAAGCTACATTTTTGCATATGTTACTTAACCCATTTTATGAACTTACGACTTAACTTAATCTTTACGGTTTCTGTCAATGTTTGACTTACTAACATAAAAAGAAACTTATTTTCTGTTTCTTGTTCTTTTATATAGATTTTTGATTATAGTCTTGTGTTCTTATGACATTACGTCCAAAAAAAAGATGCGATAAATTGAGCTCAAACCCACAAAAGAAACGAATCAAAGAACGAACAAAACTGAATTAATCTTTAGAAAGAACAAAAAAAAGAAGAGGATCGCAGAGAAACTGTTAAACCGAACAAGCGACCTCCCGACCTAAGAAGCTAATGACAGAGTCTTTTGATCTCATCTTCTGGTCAGGTTTTCTGTCTCTACCTCTTCGCGCATCAAGCGCCAAGTGTTGTCTGAACGTTGTGATGAACGCCTCTACTCTCTCGTTCAGCTCCTCATTCGATAACCTCCCTGGCTCTAATTCATCTTCTTCTCCAACAAAGTCCATAGCTTTCTTGTGAAAGACGCAATCTTTCACAGCTTCCTCGAATTCAGGACAAACCCTTTTCGTCTCTTCCACTACACATTTATTGATCACTTCCTTTGGCTCTACGACGAGAAAATGTTTGTCGGAACAAGCCGGTTCCACCACCATCCTTGTCTTCTTAGTCTTTTTAATCTTCTTCCCTCGCACCATCCTCAATCTACCACCTCGACGAGTCTTGAAATCGTGATGAGTCTCGCCGGATGTAGGACGAGACGAGGTGAAGTAACGGCTAAGAGAACAACGTTGAGTAGAAGAAAGACCAAAGAACGCCATTGCTCGACCAAATACGATACAGAGGAGAAATGTTTCAAACAAGCCATCGAGAGAACAACAACTGCAGTCAACAACGCCGTACACATGTTCTCTTCCTCCACCTCCTTCTTCTCCACTAGAAGGTCTCTCTTCATCTCCATTATTGTCTTTCTCTCTCGTTCTTGCTCTGCTATGTTTCTTTCTTCCTCCGATCGGTGAACCTTGAGATTGGTCTTACACGAAGTTTTCAAGATTCGAAAACAAGAATATGGTGGGGTCCGATTGTGGAAGACCAAATGGCGAACAGAAAGAACAAAATGAAAAGACAGGAGAAGGAGAAGAAGAAGAAAGTGGATGAGACAAAGAACAGACATGCCTTTCATATCTGCTCTTACTCTAGACATCTTATAATTACTTTCTTCTCAGGCTTTTCTGATTTTCCTCTGTTTTCTCTGTTTTTCTGTAACATATTGTATTTAACTTTAAGATGTTTTGTCAAAAGTGACTTAAGAAAAAGAAAAAAATGAGACAATGGTGAATGATTTCTCTACTTTTTTACTAGAAAAGTAAAAATCAATATGCAGAAAGCAAAAGAAAAACAGGGTGCATTGTACTAAGCTTCCACTTACAAATCTAAACACCAGAAACCTCAATAACGTATTCTGGTTGGGTTTATACACAGCAGAAACAATAGTAGCATTTGCTTCATCAAATGATTTCCATTTTAGTTACAATCAGATAGATACAGATACAGAAGCATTGCTGACCCAAAGAAGTGACGAAGCCTACTATCTTACGTGTACCTGACGGTTTTACCGGTCTACGCTAAATCCGATTTTCATCCCTTCACTTCTGCGTTTGACAAAAAAGAGTAAAACTGATATTAATTATAAGGAACTGTTATTTGATTTTTCTACATATGCAACGTTATTGGCAATCTCAAGCACAAATACACAGGTGTTTGTACTAGCATTTTATCAGTTATAGGTTCCTGATGAATGTATATGTGATTCTTGAGAGCATAAATCAGAATTATCCGGAAACAGTTCACAGATCCTTGGTAACAAGCCAAATTTGTGATACTTTAATGGCGATTCAAGCAAATGCATCACGACCTAAACCAATAATCAATGCTTCCTCAAGTGAGTTTTCAGTTCATGTTTCTCTACGAGCTATAGATTTTTCAAAGTTAAAAAACTCAAACCTCAAACTCTAAGGAGCTGCATTTTGTTAGCGAAAGCGATGCCAATCCAATCAGGCTGTGCAGAAGACCACTGCAACTGGTTTATCTCCGAACCGGCCGAGTAAACCGACATCGGATCAATCCCGTTGGGTCCAGCCACCGTCGGGAGCTCCCAAATGAGAGCCTGCGTGTCATCACCACCGGAGCAGATGTGTTTGCAGCTCTGCGGAGCCCAAGCTATGGCGTTGACGCTAGCCTGGTGCCGCTCCAGCTCCGCCACAGGCATCGTCGGCGACCGAATGTCGAGAATCACAACCTTATTCGAATCCATCAGAATCGTCGCCATGTATCTAAGGTCCTGCTTGTTCCAGGCGAGTCTTAAGAGAGGCGTATCGGGCTGAGGACTCTCGTAGATGATGGTGGAATGTTCCTTGTCGCGTAGATCGAAGATCCTGACGGATCCGTCGGCGGAGACCGACGCGAAAACCCTAGCTTCTCCCCAGGCGATGTCGTGGACCTCTTTATCGTGCGCTATGAGCTGCGTCTCCACGACAGACTTCTCGATGTCCCAAATCGTGCAGGTCGTGTCGATGCTGCAGGTCCCGAGGCGTTTCGGCTCGACGTCGTTCCAGTCGAAGGAGGTCAACGGCGCGCAGAACTCGCTCGTCTTGCTGTTGTTGAGGACCGCGACGGGCTCGACGGTGGAGGAATCTTCGCTGATCTCCCATAAGCGGAGGAAATCGCCGGAGGAAGCGAGGAGATCGCCGGAGGAGGGACGGCGGAGGGAGGGAGGGCTGAACATTAATTTGGTTGGAGGATAAGGATGCTCGAAGGAGAGATTCGGGAGAGATTTGACGGTCATTGAATCGGAATCGAAAGAGAGAATGTCGATGCGGTTGTTGTAATCCTCGAGGAAGCTTCCGACGGCGATTCGGTGGCCGGTGGGAGTGCTGGTGCGTGTGGAAGAGAAAGCCATGGCGTAGAGTGGATAAGGTGAATCATAGGTGACGGCGGTTTCCGATCTGGACATGGAATCGGGAGCTGGGTTATCCATTATCTCTCTCTCCGTATAGAAATGTGAAAATGGTTGGTCTAATCTGATTCGATAGTGGATGATTCTTCACGACGACATCTCCATTTTTTTCAGAGGAAAGTGACAGAAAGTTTTGAAGGTCAGTGTCAGTGCCATTTTTGGAGTCTGAAGAAAAAATCAAGAGAGACGGCGTTCGTACGTCTGGCTCAGTCAGTAATCTTTAGTGGGCCACTTTACACGTGTTGGGCCTTATGTCTAAGATATTGGGCCTTATTGTAACGCTAAAAATTTTGATGAGATATATAAAGTCGAAACTGCCCTCGTTGACTTCCTTTGCGTCAGTAACATGAATACGTCTGTCGCTTGTAATCGACACGTAACTAGCGTCTAGAGTTTGAACCAAAAAAAAAAAAAAAAAACTAGCGTCTAGAGATATGCGTGAGGTTGGGGAGAAGAGCGTCTATGTCATTTTCTGTCTAAACAAATGTTAGATTGCATAACTTTCTGCAAAGTGCTACGACGACAGATTAATATCTCATTTTGATTGAAAATAAAGTTAGATATTTTTATTTTAGGGTAATTTAAAGAGGAGGATAAGAAACAAGGATAGGGTTCAAATTAAAAGTGAAGGGATAAAATCCATAGACAGTGACATGCCCTACTTGGAACATTTCTCTTCAACCCCGAACACACGTTTACTCCAATTGCATAGTTGATATGACCACAAATTTATTTGCTGTTAATATTATCAATCAGAGGTCCCACGCATTTTCTTATAAATAGATTGATCGAATAATTCGAACTTATTCGTGGTATTATTAATAGTCAATAGTTTATAGTTGTTAGCATACAAATTGAAATTAATATATCATTGTTAAACTCATTAACAACAAGCTACTATATTATTTTATCTGGCGTCAGTAGTTTTTTTCATTTTTCTGTGGTAAAAGTCAGTAGTTGAACTAGTATACCTCGAAATTTAGACCCTTTAACAAACAAAAAAATACCTCGAAATTTAGTGATCTTGTGATTTTTCTGTGGTAAAATCACTCGAAATTAGAATTCACAGCAAGACTAAATCTTTTTGGTAGAGCATATGAAAGAAAATGTCATATTTCTATCGATTTTTAACGGTGGAGCACAATTTGGTGATCTTGTGATTGTGCTATATGTGGCTACACCAATATAATATTATAATATATAAAAACTGATAAGATAAAATTAAATAACACATAAGAAGACAAAAGAAACAGTTCAACACATGAATCACGTAAGATACAGAACAAAACAAACAAATAATATATTAAAATTAAGATGTCTCGTTTACTCACCAAACATTCATGCATCTTGAATTTTTTAATGTCTTTTCAATGAATCTTTCATTAGATCGGTTATTGATTAATGATTATGGAAGATATGGGTTTCGACCGATGCTATGAGCCACATTTTTATCAACCATGCGAGTTGTGTTTGGTAGATCAAATATATACATAGATTTATTAGGTGTTAAACGTTGTAAAGGTAGTAAGTAGTAACATCACTTGCGCTTACGAATTCAAACAATGTTTATCTGTTTTTTAGTAAATGGAAACAACTAGAAAACAAGGAAAAGAGGAGCCAACCACTCGATACGACCGACCACATGACCTCTTCACATTTTACAGACAGAACACACCATAATATATCGTGCATTAATAGTGAAATGAATCTACGTGGCTCGTCCCATCATTTGAAAAAAATATGACTAACTTACGACAAGTCGAAAACTTACGAAGCAGTAGTAAATAATTTTATTTACGACCAACTAGCTAGACGATCTGGAAATCCACCAAGGTGTGAAGTATTTTCATGAATTGCTTATGTTGGTTTTTTTTTTCTTTTCTGAACCTCCTATGTTAGTGTGTATATATTGGAAGAAAACTACCAAACAAAAAATATGAAAATTAATCACCTGTGCTGGTGTATATATAAAACAGTCATTATACCATAGATAAACTTCCTAATCTACGAAAATATTGCATTTTGATATCATAACGTGCCATTACTTAGAAGTGTTTGACACGGTACATGTCTCATCAGTGTAATTATCAAGGTTGACTCACAAATCCAAACACGACTCCACTTCCATATACGATCGTGCCCATTCTTTTTGGATAGCATAAGGACAAAGGATTCTGTTTGGATACGTGTTATGCTTTCTCTCAATCCCATTTTTTGAACCAAAATGGACGTATATCTTTATTCACATGAACGATCAATCTGTGGCTTGGAGTCTCTTTTGGGTTCGATTGATCATTGTTAACAAAAAGTTTAAGATTTGTAAGTAATTAAAGCGGATCAGATAAAACAAACGGTTAGAAATGGGGTAAAACAGTTGTCTTTCTTTTGACATCATCATTTAGGAACATTTGGGGTTTGTTTGTTGTACTATTTGTGAAACAAAAAAAATGGAGAGGTGCTTTAATTTATGTCAAACAATGTATTTTATCTTTCGAAGGTAAGTACTCCACGGGATGAGATGCGTAGATCGGTAGATGCTCACGCGGCTACGCCTTCGGAAATAATCATTCATGACGTCACTGCCATGACGCTGAGGCAACGTCATTATATATAAAGTAACGTCATTGTATAGTACTATAATTAATGTAAATGTTTCTTTGTCAACAAACAAAAATATATATTATAGAGTTTAGATATATATATATATTTTATTTTATTTTTTGTTTTCTCATTAAAATGTGAGCTAGTTGGATCTGAAGTCGGAGCCCTGAGACATATGAAAACATATATATATATATATATATATATATATATATCCGCTCTAAAATTATAATATGTACATGCGGGTATGCAAGTATTCGGATCTGAATATGGATAGGCAAACATTATTAAATTTTAAAGTTATATTTTTTCAATGTTTTAATTATATAATCTGATAAATGTGCCAATCTGATAAAAGTCGGAAGAACTATATATTCATAATCTAAAACCTGGCTTTAACAAAAGAAAACAAAATATTCTTTTTGGTAAAACAATTTATTAGTTCTACTCTTATTTCTAGCTAATAAAATACTATGGAAGAAGGTGACAGAAGTGTAAATAGTCCTACGCTGTAGAGTATAATTTAAAATTTGTAGATGGTGCGAGTAGTTCTTAAAAAAAATCTAAAAGGAGTTGTACTGAAGAAAAGAAACCCCAAGAAATATTCAAGCATTAAAAATTTTCCGATCGTATATCTAATGATTAAAAGTAAGATTTGACATTTTCGAAAATTCTCTCAAAACCATACTATTTACAAATAAGATATTCAGTGGGTTAAGAATTTTAAAAATCAGCTTCAATAATGTACATACTGAAATAACAAAATGTCCACTTTTAAAACATAACTTGCTGAGGATGAAAAAAAAAACATAATTTATTGAGTAGGACCGAGTATAGTACATAATTTTATATATATAAACCATGGAAGGTGAATTTTCACATACAGACTCAAAAGTCAAGCCTTCATCTATCTCTTTCCCATTTGCTTCTTCTTGAATATTCTCATATCAGACATGGCGGCAAAGCTAATATCCACAGGTTTCCGTCACACTACTTTGCCGGAAAACTATGTCCGGCCAATCTCCGACCGTCCACGTCTCTCTGAAGTCTCTGAACTCGAAGACTTCCCTCTCATCGACCTCTCTTCCACAGATCGATCTCGGCTCGTCCAACAAATCCACCAAGCTTGCGCCCGGTTTGGGTTTTTCCAGGTACCTATATATACAGACATATTTACACGTTTAGATTATAACATATATGGACTTTTGCATTAATCAAAGAAAATATATGTCTATTTAGTTTCTTTTTGTTATTGGTTCTTTCCAAAATAAAATAGTTTATGGAGCAGACATAATGGACAGATCACTACTATTTTTGGTAGGCTTTTGTCCGCTCCATCCGTGATAACCATTCGAAGCCAAAATTATTTCATTTGAACTTATATATTGGCGAAAAACAAAACAATATAGCTACGTATTTAAATTTGTATAGTTGATTACCTATTTGACGGCTAATCTTTCGATGGGTCTAGGTCATTAATCACGGAGTTAGCAAAGAAACAGTAGATGAGATGGTGAGTGTTGCGAATGAGTTCTTTGACATGTCTATGGAGGAAAAAATGAAGCTGTACTCGGATGATCCAACGAAGACAACGCGATTATCGACCAGCTTCAATGTTAAGAAAGAAGAGGTCAACAATTGGAGAGACTATCTTAGGCTCCATTGTCATCCTATCCACAAGTATGTCCATGAGTGGCCTTCAAACCCTCCTTCTTTCAAGTAAGCACTTACTTTTACTTCTATATTTTTTTGTCTGTTTATATACACTTCTGACCCCTAAAAAAACAAAGTTTACCTCTGCTTTTTACTTTACATCTTCTTTCTCAAATATTGATAGTAACTAATTATTAATTTTGCATTCGTCCTATACTCAATATTAAACATTTTTTGTTGTAAAAAGAGCTAGTATTAACAATATCTAATGTTTAAAATAGGTCGATCAGGTTTTATGGTGTATTTCTAAGGTGTCAGAATTGCCAAATATAGACTTAAATATCTATTTTCAGACTAAAATTTATCTGACTAGATTCTGTTTTCTTTTTCTCTGGTCCCTATATATGTAATCATATTATACGATAGATTATTAATGAACCCAAACGCTTGAAAGCACCTAGACTACCTATCAAGATAATCATTAATATTGGGTGAGTCAGTACTTCTAAACCAGTTTTTGTGTAACCTTTTAACAAAAAGAACTATATTTGTGCGTCATGACTCATGATTCCAAAAAAACACACAACAAAACAAAAGTAGAGCAAGCACTCCTTCTCTTTAGAGGCCTTAATGTGTGATTCATTTTTCTTATATCATATTGTCTATTATATCAAAACATTACAAAACAACCAAGCATATTAATTGGTATATTCAGGTCAGAATAGCGAATGTCATTTCAAAGAGACAAAGTCGATTCGGATTTGAAC